ATGTTTCTGAGGATCCAATGAATATGATATTTTATAAATAATAAAATCTTATCATTGAATTACATTTTCTTCATTGCATCATTTATACTATAATGATGCCATAATTATTCTAATATTGTTTAAATATTGTTAATGAAAATGATTATATTGACATATAAAATATCTTATACAAAAATATTTAAAACTCTTGAAGTATAAAATTTTTTTTTGTTAAATGCATTTCATTGGAAGTTCAAAATTTAAAGGGACAATTACTTGAATGGAATCACAACACTTGAAAATCACATTGCAGTCAGAAAGTATGTTATATTAACAAAATAAAATTATATTATCAAAAATATTGGTAAAATATATCATTCAAAAATAAACTTTACAATTTATAATAAAATATCTTAAGTACTAAGAAAAAATAAATATGAACCAACATCATGGGAAAAAAAAAGAAATCAAATTATAAATATGATTTTCACATCAATTTTTCAACTATGTACATATAAAATTCTTTATATTTTTGTATACTTTTGAATGAGATCTGTCTACTTATATGTAAATACAACTAATACATATGTTTTCACAAAGTTAAAAAAATCAGGAAAAAATAAAAAAATATTTTATCTACTAGTATGTTTTTCAATTCATATTTTAGCCAATTTGATAGATTAAAAACAAGAACACACTGATTATGTGACAAAAAAACTATAATTTAAACACCTTTAGTTTTAACATTCATAAAAACTTTCTCATTCCATTTAACACATGTTAAAATGAATACCACTGTTCAACTATGTGATGCTATTTCTAACATTGAGTAACATGTAGCCATTTGATTTGACAAATAACATATCAAATATTATTATAACAAAGAGAGGGATTAGTTAAATTGTAAATTAAGTTAAACTTATCAAATTCCTAAATATTACGGTTAAGTTTTATGTAACATTTAACATTTATAATTTTTTAAAAAGTGCTTACATAAAAAGCCTATTTCTACCTTTTTTTTATCTGAAACTATTCTCATAAACTGACAAATAATGTTCATTAAATGTATGTACACTAAATATTTATCTTAAACTTAATCCAATCAAAATTTTTGTTGACTGGACTTAAAATATTGTAAATGAATGAATAATCTCAATATTTAAAATTTTATACATATATAATACTAAAAAAACACCACACTAAAATTTTAACACAGTTGATTATTCAGAAAATAGTCGCTCATTCATAACAAAATTAATCATGATTATTGTACAAAGATGTTGAGAATAAAATATTTTAAACAATAAATGTTACATACATACATAAATATAGTATTTTAATAAATTTAACACTTATGAGAGTTAAATAACTAATACAAATATGGAATAGCTTGACTTATTACCAATAATGCAGCAATAATTTCTACCGATCTAAGTGTTTAGACCATTATAGAAGTTACATAACACCTTATTCACAAAAATGAAATGGTTAATTAATGCTAAATGAAAAATTAGATTTTTATTTTTCATTTAACATGTCTTTCTACTATAGTATTACAACATTATATTCATATTCTAGATAGTTTAACTATCCATAAAAATACCAAATGAATTTAAAAATGATAGGAACAATTATCTCAGTATAAATTGTAAATAATTATTTTACTGGGTGACATACAAGGTTATAGATTATAGTATATTAATCAAATAGTATTTTTATTCAAATGCTATTTTCAATCAAATTGAAAGCCTAGTAAATAAGAAGTACGTGAATGCACTCTTACATCAATAGTAGTATAGGCTTTATCCAAAAAGAAACAACACAAATAAGCTTTAGATGCATATCATAAGTTTTATTTATGAATATTAATATTAGGGACTTATTTGTAACATTCACTACAAATATATTTCAATTATATAGTTCAACTTAACAAATATATTTTACACATTTGTTCTTTGAAATAAAAACAAAGTTAGTCTATATAACAAACCTATTAATTTTTCAATATTGAATACAATTTTTATTAGGATATAATAATTTCTGAATTAAAAAGCACATTGTTTTGTGCCAAGATTCTCCAATTATTTTTATGTAAACTTAAGTTGATGAGAATTAAATCTTACAACATATTTAAATATTTATAGACGAAGAATATTTTTATAAATATTAATGGTTGAAGCTTCTGTCAGATGGTGGTAATAATGTAAGCATATTTATCATTTTATATTTATTTTCAGTTAAAAGTTTTATGTGATGTGTTTCATAAAGATAAATTTTTGTAAGATTCTCCACTCCATTAATGACATTGCATTTCATTATTTTATATTTATATACAAAAATAATGAAAACCAAAATATCTTTTGGAGGACAATATTTTAATAATGAACAAAGATTTTTGAGGAATCAAGTAAACATTGAAAGCCCTAAATGCTATCAAGAAATTCACATTCCTTTATGAAATTTGGATAGTTCATACAGGAAGTGTACAACAAATTAACACTTATTTTCTTTTCTTAGTATTGTAGTCTAAGCATAATTATTACAAATCAATACTTTTAATTTTATACCTACAACATTCTTTTGGTAAAAAAATTACGGTCATTCTTAAATAGAGAGAAGTCTTTATTTTGATAACATTAAAAATATTTATATAAAAATTTGTCTTTTAATATCACATAAAATGATCGCCATGAAAAATTAAATATTGTAATCTGCCAACTAACAGACCCATGCGGATAACCTTCCATCTCATTATGATTAGAATTCACAAATAAACCATGGAAATGTCATTTTACTTTTCAAACAAATCAAACTTTGTTTTGACCTTTTTTTTTGTTTATCATCAAAAATGTTTAAAACCCCAGCTATTTCTTTTACAGATATAAGAGGAATTAAACTTTAGTTATTACAATTTTGTTTTAAGTAATGAGTGAGATATACTAAATAGTATTTTACAGAATAGAAGAAGCCTTCCAAATATAGTAATCATGTTTGATAGAATAATAAGTCGTTAGGTAACATCAAGAATTAGGTAACATAAATCCTATTGTTGGTTACAATTTTATAACTGTTCAACACATAAGGATGCAATGCTGTTAGCCCATAGTCCTTTGAAACAATCCAAATCTGGAATCCATGAATGAACTTATTATATACATTCAGTTGCCATGTTTAGCTGGCTAAAACGGTTGAAGTTCTCATCACTGGTCTTTAAACTATATAACAATACAGGTGAGCTACTCTATCTTTCACTAAGAAGTTAGTTTTTTGTATCTGAAAAAAATAAAATGTATTGCATTATTCTTTCAAATATATTTATTATTAAATATGATTAAAACATAATGTTTATTCCTTAAGCATAAATTATATAAAAAATAGAGTTTAATAATAATTTTCAGTAATATTATTAATCAAATCATGTTTCAAAGTTTTAGATCATTTTTGTTTAATACATGATTTTCTTCATAAGAAAGCGTTATGTTTAAAAAAAAGTTTGAGCTTTCAAACTAAATTTAAAATTTAGAAATGTTGCATGGCGCAAGTTCTATTGTTGAGGGGGCATTTATTTACATGGTAATGAATTTTTGGAGAGAACCATACGTTTGTCGAGTCTCAATTGGGGAGAACTTTCAAGCCAAATAAATTGTAAATAAATAAATTACATTTTTTTTATTTTTTTTTATTTACACTATTTTTAAGAAGAAGAAGAAAGCAATCGATATTCTGGGGAGGTGAGGCATGTGCCATCACCCTTGGAGGGGAAGGGGGACCCATATGTTGGGCAAAGAAATAATGGAACCCGTTTTTCCCCCCCCCGAATATAACTCAAAGGAAATTATGAATAAGAATAATAATCTTTGAAAATATTTGCTATTATGAACTTTAAACATCACATTCAGAAATATGATGGGACACAGTCTAAGTAACCTCACTTTCTTTTTTTTCCCAATTTTCAACTTGCAGATTACAAGTATATTTAATGATCATTAAATTTAATCAATTTGGAGAAATTCGTTTGTCTAGTTTGTACCTGAAATTCCTCATTGAACCGAGAAAAGTTTGTAAAAGTTGTGTTTTATTTTATCATCATCAAACCTCGTGGTGACATTTGCTAAAGGCTCTAAAACACAACTCTCAATATAATAGATTTGGCCGGGGGGAGGGAGGGAGGTAGAATGTTTCATGTTTTGAAAATGATGTTTTAACATTAGATAACATGGTTTAAATTGGATACCTTCAGCGAGAAAAGGAAATACTCGCTCAAAATAAGGACTATTTTTACTTGGGATTGAATAATTAGTACGTGTATTGTTGAGAGATAGTGTGATCAACACTGTGGCCCCAACAGTCACGCAGGACGAAATCTCGGCGAACCGGCGATCTAGTAGCATTATTATCTATTCCAGTACAGTACACAAAGCGTGGTAATCTCTAGCGATCCATATAAAGACATCAAAGATCGCAAAGACAGATCAAGTTCTGTGTGCATGATCCTTAATATCCTCTTACTAATCTCAAATAAACATATTAGGATTGAAACTAAGAAAGCTAGTGTCAAACGATTCCAACCCTAAAAAAATAAACATATTTTTTGGTTAGCAGATTCATATATAATTCATGAGAAATGATTAACAAAACGAACCAGTGTTAACACTTAAAAAAAAAATGAAAACATCACTGTTTACTGTTATCTCAGAGCTACTACAGAAGCGGGGAAGCAGGTGCGAATTTCATATGGGCAAGACCAGCATATTCGCAATCAGCAGTACCTTCATTGCCGAAACTAAAAAGACATTTGTTTCTGATAGGTATATTTATATTAATTTTTTTTAATTCTTTTATATTATTTCTTATGCGAATTTGTCGATTATTTAATTGATAGACCACTGAATTACAGTAAAATATATTTTTCAAGAAAAACAAATTAACATATTGTAATGGCCACCTCCATTTTTTCCTAGCATGACGGTACTTGGATGGTATATAAGCTTAACCCTAATTGAGATAGGCACAGTAGCAACATGTCGAATACCGTGGTTGTTTTTTTATTTTTATTAGAATGTCTTGTTGCCCATAGTATACCGAATCTTTTTACATCGGATGTATGTAGCAAGTTGAATATTTCAAATTTTTGTTCATCCTTACGATTTATCTTATTAATATTATTTAACTATTAACACTAGTAACTAAATTTATTTTCATAAGTTTTAACAAAATTATTGCACTTGATCTATTATTTTAATAATTGTGATATATATATAATGAATAAATCCAATTATATCTGTGAAGACACTGAGAGTGTGATATGGTCAGCATTTTCCATTCTGAAGTTATTTTTATTTAGATTATCATTATTCTCATTTCAATTTCAAACCAAATGAAAAGGAAATGAGTAATGGGTTAACAATAAGTTTAACAATTAACAGTTTTTTCATAAATTAATTATCATAAAAAAAATTAATTATAATATAAAAAAGAAATAAAGTTTCTACTATATGTGTATATGGCTGGCCGTATAATAACTCAATATGGAGAAGATCCATGCTTATAGCAATCATTTGATGTTTTTCTGACTGATCTCGCCCATTCTCCATCTTGAATAAAACTTTCATTATTTAAAAAGCTTATTCTCTGAAATCTATTCATTATTTGATCATGAAATAATTTATACCGTTGTATAAAAAAACAAAACAAATAAAGTATAATGATTAATAAAACTTCAGATCATATTTGGCCCAAGAAATGACAAGAGCGGGGCGGGAAATGGTGCAGAAAACGAAAATACGGATTATGAAATTGTCCATCTTTCAAGAGATGCACACCCAATGTACAGCTTCAACGCATTTGGCAGGTATTATATTAATTTATATTACACATTTTCATATTATTTTAAATAAGGTTGTATGTAATTTAGTAAACTTCCTGACGTTTTTTTTTTACGATTTATTAAAATAGTACAAAGTTTTTTAAATAAGTAAAAATCTAAAACAACATTTTGATAAATTGAAAATTGAACGGTATTAATTTAATTCTAATCATAGATCGGCTATTATCTTAATTAAATAAGAGAAAATTTCACAACGAAATTACTTCCGCGATCATGTGTAAATAAGTAGGATAAAGTATAAGTCCCCGTGGAGAAAATTTGAACATTTTAAAAATATTGGATACCAAAGTGATACATTTAAAAAAAAAAATATATATATATATATATATATATATATATATATATATATATATATATATATATACATATATATATTTATTTGAAAATAAATTATGTTCGGGTTCAAAGTATTAGAAGTAACATACAAACATGGTTGCGACCCAGAATTAGTGTATTACAAAGTGACCCAATATTTTAAAATGAAAAAAATAAATTTTAGAGTAGTTTGAAAGGTACATTGAATTGTATGAAATGAAAACAAACTAAAGTAGATCAACATTTTTTTTAAATTCAAAACTGTCGTTTGATTTGTTTATAGCACTGAGAAAAATCAAATGTTCAGGTAAATATATAAAATGTAATTTTTTTATAGCACTGAGAAAAATCAAATGTTCAGGTAAATCTATAAAATAGGATTGTTATACTAAAAATTTCATCTGGATAGACTTTTCATTTTTTTTTTTTTAATTTTAAAAACTTCCTATAATTTAGGAACCTTTTACCAATCCTAACTAAATTCGGACAGAGTTAGTAAAGTATTTTATGCGCAATTAATTTAATAAATAATTTAAATTTTACAATCATTCTTGGTGAACAGAAAAATAAGATCCCGAGAGTTCTATTTTTTTTTTTTCGTCTTATTTATTTATTTTTTTATTCCTCGATATTACAACCTGCAAAGTATGCATTATTATACTGTCTCATACAATATCAATGATTAAAATTTTATATCTATTTATCATTCCATCAGCCAAAAAAATGTTTTTTAGATTTATTGTCCGAAAAATTAATTTTAATCTTAAAGAAATTATTGTTTGAAAAACTTTTTTAGACTAGCTATTTTTTTTTATAGTGAAGAAACACTATTTTAATGGATATGTGTTCGTATATTAAACACAAGAAAAAAATTATGTTAATATATATTATACTTAAATATAGATATGGGAATTCTATTCTTGTTCATTTAAATACTTGGAAACGTTTGGGTATCTATAAAATTCGTTTTTCTACTATACAAATTAAGGGTCTCATATTTAATTTTTAAAAATCTATTATATAAGTTTCTTATAGAATAATAGATAACTGTTTTGTTTGTTATAGGGATATAAATCTCAACTTAAAACCGAACGAGAAAATAATTTCAGAATATTTCAAAACTTATCTGGTTGACGGTGATGAAAAACAAGAAGTGAAAGAAATAACGAAACCTTGTTATTATCTACATGCTGACAACTTCAGTTCAGCTGCTATTAACTTTTGCTACGAAGATAAATTGGTGAGAATTATATATTAATTAAATTAATACAATAAATATAAACTAAACAATATAAACAAAATGATATTATTTACATGAACAAGGGAGCCTATTTTGCGTTGACTTCTTATAACGACAATTCGTTTTTAATTCTAGCTTGAAACGACAGATAATTAATGGACTTTATTAAGATAAGAACCGTGGTTTGACACCCGAACCTAAAATCTTTCCACCAACTGCATAATGCCATGTTCATAGAATTTCTGTAGTTTATTGTTAAAAAAACTGATCCAAAAGGTTTTTGCTTTTTAGAATTTCTTTCCATTCATGGAGTCCTGCAGATACCGGAATAAGCGGTAGTCACTTGGAGCTAGGTCTGGTGAATAGGGAGGGGGGGGCAAAAGGTCCTATCCAAGGCTCAATAATTTATTTCGAGTGACCAATGTGGTGTGGGGCCTAGCGTTGTCTTGGTGGAACACAACTCCCTTCCCATCATTCATAACTCTTCAGAATGTTCTGCAAATTCGATGTTATTATATCCGTTGGAAAGCTGAATTATTGCTCTTCAAAGCCCATTCAAAGATTTTTTTTTTTTAAGTTAATGCCTATGTAAGGAATAAATAAACAATAACTCCTTATAGGTTTTTATTTTTTTATCTCCATTTGCAGTTTGTTTACGAAGATCCAGCTGATGTCATTTTGTGTAGTTTGTGTGTCTCTAAATCCCTGCTAAATTTCTTGTAGATAGTTAAGTCGTATTGAAGTTATAACATGTTTTGTGATTTCCGAAAAAAAATCATGTTAGGGACCCAAACATTAAGCCTGGAAACACAGCCAAGCTTGTGCAAATGGTTTTATACGCTTGTGTGCGACACATTTAGGGCCATAGCAATCTCTTGCACTGATTGGGTGGGATTTTGATCAACAATGACCTTAGCATTGCTCATTTCAATTTCATGTGGGAGACCAGACCGTTGAGCATCATTGATGTAAAAATTTCTTGAATGAAATTTGGCAAACCAATTTTGATAGGTGCGTTCGGTTAAGGCATCAACCCCATAAACGCTACAAACTTTTCTATGAGCTTCTGCAGCATGCTTTCTAAATTTTTCTATGAGCTTCTGCAATATCTTTTTTAAAATAATACAAGATATGCCGATAATGAATATTGCCTTCCATATTCACAGTGCAATAGCAAATACAATGCTAAGCTAGTTTCAACAAGAGTTAACAGATATAGTTGTTGGCATATTACAAACAGGATAAACAATCCACCTGAGGGATTAATTAATCATATAAGCGTATCATAGAGACATAAAAAAAAAAAACAGAAAAACCGAAAGGACTTATTTTGCCAACCCAATACAATGGATAAACATGAAGACATATGAAATATTCTTGGAAAGCAAAATACTTTAGAAAACTAAAAATTTGACATATAAGGTTGCAGAAGGTAACAAATATATATGAAAAAATAATGACTTTTAATTGTTAAAGTTAATAATATCTACTTCTATATTATTAAATAGTAAACAAACGTTTTCATAGAGACCAAATTATTGCAATAATAAAAATACTAAAATGGTCTCCTTAAGTTGTTTACGGACTATGATAACTGTTCATCATCCCTCCCCACCCAAAATAACAATCTGAGTCTAAAGCCCTCCACTTACCGCTCCCGCTCGAAATTAACCAAACAAGTCACCCCAAAATAGCCATGCACGTCAGACGTAAATGACTTAACAACTCGGTTATTATTGTTAAAAATACATATACTCATATAATTTTAGCTTCTTTTTACCAGTGAAAAAAAAACAGCAACGACTGATGACAAGAATTAGTAATAATCGAGTTTTATTTAAAACATGGTAGTTAATAAACGATGTATAATTGGTAATTGTAATTAAAATTAAAATATTCTAAATTATATATAGTAACAACATATAAGAAGGAGTAAATGAATAAATAAATAATAAATAATAGAAAACATTTTAATGTAATAGTTTCAACAGGAGTTAACAGATATAGTTGTTGACATATTACAAACAGGATAAATAATCCACCTTAGGGATTAATTCATCAGATAAGAAGTGTATCTTAGTGACATAAAAATAAACAAAAACCGAAAGGACTTATTTGCCAACCCAATACATCAGACGTTTCGCCCACAATGCTGATCTTATTATCACTAAATCATTGTCTATCACTGAAGCGTAGCTAAGCGGTGTGTGAGAACCAGTCAGGAATGCAAAAAAAATGAATTTCCAATAAAATAATTAGTTTTGTTAGAATAAAAACAAATAGTTTAATGGTACCAGATAAAATGGTTGCGCTACTGGCCTATCATGATCAATATAGGATTGAAAGGTGCAATAGTTTATTTTTTTTAAAATAAATTCTCATTTAATTTGTTAAAAATAAATTCACGTTTAAGATTTTTTAAAATAAATACTCATTTAGGATGAACTCATTTAACTTGATAATTATAAGAAATATAGTAGAAATAACTTTCTTTTTTTAAAATAATATTTGGTATCTAACAGCATAGTGGAAAAAAGTAAATAAACTTGCCGAAAGTGGTCTTACTTTTTTTTGTATTTTAGATGTGAACCTTTTTTTTCTCGAGAAAAACTCAAATTTTGAAGTGTTTTCGAGTTATTAATTTAACCCTTCTATATTTCATGATAATGGAATTGTAGAGAAATTCATAGGGAGGAATAAAGTTTTTAAAAAAATTACTTTGGAACCATTTTAGAACTTGTTCAAACTATTTATTAACATATTTTTTATACTTTCGCAAAAAACATTTTCCACTTTTCGTTTTCCATAACTATAACTTTTTTACTATTAGTATACCTTTACAGAAGGCATCAACAAAATCCAAAATTTAAGCCGCGAATCAAGTTTTTAAAATAGTCACATACCCTTTAGTTTTTTACGTTTTTAAGCGCAACTACGTTGCACAAATTGATTCCTTTGACAACAAATTAAATTTGTTTCTTATACTTTTCTCCTTGTGTTGTCTTTGATCTTTGTCGATACACAAGCAGCCACACTGTCGATCTGCAATGGCCTGGACCATCCAGATGTGCTAGAGATCGGATAAGTAATTTAATTAAAAATGGAATCCGAGTGACTTTCCAATAGGTTCCAAGCCATTGCGGTTTACCTGGAAACGAAAAAGCTGATGAGCTCGCACGGATCGCCTCGGAAATACCACAAACTAATCCTCCGCTGCCCAACGAATCTGTTAAAAGGATTTTAAAATCCTCTTACAAGGAAGAGAATAAGAATTGGCAAAAGCGACAGGCAGCGGGGAAAAAATGGGAATCTTTAACAGAGGAGCCGATAAAACAAACAAAAAAATAGGAAAGAATCGGGGGCGAATTGCCGCATGACGACAGGACACGATTATCTGCAAAGGCATTTACTTTGCCAAGAGGACGAGATGTAGGACCTGCACCTCCCAGTTTGCCCAGTTATCCCTCTTGGTCAGATGTCCGTAATAATTCTGATGGGATCGGCACAAATTCAAGCAATGGAATTATGGCGGAATAGTATTGGGTTGTCAGAATCTGAATGGCCTAATAGCTATCGTTAAATAAAAAAAATAAAAAATCTCCTAATTATGAATTTGGTTCAGTCCATTACGAGGATTTGTTTCAATATGTTTGCTACTGTGCCTGGACTAGGATTATTGTTTTTATAATAATATTACTACTTATATAAACATATAAGTTATTTGTCCACATTGCCAAGATTCGTCAGTAACTCGTCGAAATAGAAACTCGAGTATATTCATACTGAATCTATAAATAACTACACAGGTAAACGGAAATAAACGTCGGAACGTAACATAATACTTTGTTCTTTATAATGCACTCCTTGAAGTATATGTTAATATCCACAGGGATGCCCATCTCCTCCCCCCCCCTCCCCAAGGTGGATGGAACATGAACCTCTTCCCCCTTCCCAAATATTTTATTGCACCCTTCTTAAAAATAGTGTAAATGAAAGTAGGATATAATGAAGTAGAATACCTCATATACAGTTACAGTTGCTAAGGTCTGCTCCAATATTCCCTTTGTCTTCTGGTTTGAAACTTTTCATTTTGAAAATTCATAAATCCATCAAAATTTAAACGTACCCCCCTCGAAAATTCAAAGTTCCTTAAAAATGTGCTCCCCTCAACAATTTTGATGATGCAACTTGCACTATGAGATTACCTTTTGAGTACCCCTGCATATCCTGAAAATATAATGGGAGGAACACAGCAAAAGCATTGAACATATTAATAACTTCCACCCTGATGCTGAATAGAAATGAGTCTACACATATGGAGCAGCGGCGGAAATGAAGAGGAGGGAATTTGAATACAGCATCCTGATGGCATATCATTTCTAAAAATTATCCAAACGAAACAATTTTCGTAAAACTATCGGACTAACTAAACTATCATAAAATTAACATGAAGAACGCCCACGTTACCTCATAAAAAAATTTTAATCTTCATTGAAGAAAAATAATTTTGTAATAGAAACTCCAAAATCTCTGTAGATAAATTGTGTTGCCATGGTTTCTTGGGTGTTCGGTATAAGCGTAAAAGCCAGAAACTCTTTCTCATAAAGACTTTAATAAAGACAAAAAATTCAGAAATTACATTAAAAATAAAGTTATTAAATTACATCATTCAGGGATATAATAAAGATGGGCCAATAAATACCAGAGTTAAAACGAGATTTTCAGTATAAGCGAGAACAGGTAAACAGAAAATGTTCTTATTCTTAGTTCAAAGGGAACTAAAACTGTTCGAAAAAAATAAAATTGTATATAGTCAGGAGTGAAATACAAGAGAGCTTATTTTCTTCTAGAGAAGGGGGAAATAAAATCTGGCCCAATACGAAGCCACTGCAGAGGATAATATGACAATATCAGGAGCTGCGAAAGACGACAGTTTTTTTTTTGTCAACTCATCTTATAATGACCGAATGGTGAAGAGGTCGGATAAGGGAAGGGAAGAACCATTAGAAAGCGGTTTATATTTAAACTAATTGTAAGATATAACAAAGACTTTATAATTATTTCTGGCAACAACCCTACCAATCGGGATACACATGGTAAATAAAAGTGGAGCCGAATCTAAAATTACGAAGTGAAAAATTATGCTAATGAATATGCAATAATTCTTATATAATACCTTTTTATCAATAATATTTCAATGTCAACTTCGTAAATTGTAACTATTGAACTTCTGTTTCAATTTGTAGATCATAATTAAGAAGACCATATTTATTTAATTTATTATTGAAGTTGAAAAATTCATAATGTATTTATTAATAGTTAATAATTCATCACTACATTTAGTTTAAATTTATATACTACTTTTTATGATAAACAGCCTTATTTTGGTTATTCATATTTTTTTATGAGATTTTTATTTTTTATTATTTCTTAATGATATTTACGACTGTATTAAAGAAATACGTTTAGGAAATTTGAACATATGGATATAATGACGTGAAAACACTTGTTGAATAACTACCCAATGGTAGCTTTCTAACATGTAGACATTAGGAGATCACGGGGCCATCTTCTTTTCAGACACCTCGGAGGCTTATCAGGAATTGAAGAGGAAGCAAAGTTAGAAACGATAGGGTTGGGATGATTCTGAAGTTTACTATGGAAGGATAGGTATCTGGATTGGGCCAGATCTGAAACATTAAGGTCTTCATGGATGGTTTTATTTGTAGCAAAGTAGAGAGCATTGAGGATTTTGGATACGAGAGGAATTCGATGGTTTAGTGGAGCCCCATAGCTCAACTCCGTAAGTCCAAATAGGCTTATTATAGTCATGTATATGAATCTTTTGTAATTAATAGGAAGTTTAGAGAGTTTGTCTAGTAAGTGCTGAAGTAATCGGAAACGTCGAGCGGTTTCTTGTCGTTTCAGTCTGGTATGAGGATTCCAAGTCGTTTGTCCAGGTGGAGTCCTAGGTAGCGGATTTACGCAACAGGGCATAAGATCTTTAAACTGAAGTAGTGTTTTTTGTTTTTAAAAAGTTTGTTTTTATCACATTACAAAGGAGTGTACCGGAAGAAGTTTTTGATAATATGAGGAGCAGAAGAAAAATTTTGTGAAATTTTAGAAGAAAAATAAAAACAAAACAAACCATTTTATACAGAATAAAACAAGTACTACTATAGAGTAATATTCTATATACATACATATTTTAGGAAAGTTTTTAGAAATAATGTTACGTAAGACTAATGTTATGTTAAAAAAAAAGAAAAGAATTTTTGAAAATGGCTCTTGGAGCCGAAACGTTAAAAAATAATATAATGTTTAAATATATCATAAAAGACTGTGAGATTAAAAAGGGTTTGATAAATAATTAATCTTATATAGATTAAATATAATATTTACATAATACTTATGATTTACAGCATGGTCTTCTATTTTTCGAGAAGTATGTCATGGAAATAGCACCAGTTCATGGTGAAACTTCCAATACAAACTCCACAGCAATGCCACACATGATCAAGAAAAGTCTTATAAAAGATCAACCCTGGGCAGATGAATTCCGTAAGTATATATTCATTTATTGTGTATGTATATGTCTATAACATGACCAAATAACTGAAATCCTTCTAAACCGGATATATCCGTGTCATGAAAATGTAATATGCGACCAGCTAACATGTTTCAGGAAAGGAAGGAGCACGTTAGACCAGATGTTTATCTTAAAACAGGTGTTGGAAAAACGACGGGAAGCAGCTCGGGATGTGCACGCCTAATTTGTGATTTCAAAGCAGCATGTGGTTCCGTGGACAAAAACTGTGTTTGGATGATCATGGCTGGACTGTGAGTCCCCGGAAAACCAGTGAGATTAACGTTATAGTATGGAGGATCCTAAATATCGAGTCATGATGCAAGAAGAAGCATTTGAAACCTTCGAAGTTCTGACAGATTTGAAACAGAGATATAGACTTTAGCCAATGCTGTTGAACTAAGCCTTGGAGAAGGTTATAAAAACGTGGAGATTAAAAACCAGATGGATAGCATCAAGCAAGATGCATTTAATTTAATGTAGGAAGGAGATGGTGCGGGGTGGCGGTCATAAATAGCCTAAATAGTGGTAAAACTATTTTATTAAAAGCCAACGACCCGACTTTGCAGGTCTTCGTCAGAGCTAGAACGGACAAGATACAAAAAAAATAGAGAATTGTGGAAATTACATAATATTTAGACAAAAAATTATAAACAATGGGAATAAGCTTATTAAAATTATAAACAGTAAGTACATTAAAATATGAACAGAGTAAGCTAAGTAACAAGATCCTAAACTGAAGTAAATAGATGCTAACAAATATTGTAGTGTAATATATAATAAATGCAAATGTGAATATACTTCTACAGATCTACAGGAGAAATTGAAAGAAAAGGAAAAAGGATATAATATGAAATAATAGACATGAAGGAATGTGGAGAAAGAAAAGAAAAAAGAAAACCAAAAATTAAATAAATAAGTAAATAAAATTAGAGACTTATATTCTTTATCCTTTTCTTTCAATCTCTCCTGTAGATCTGTAGAAGTATATTCACGTTTATATATTATATATTACACTACAGCAATTGTTAGCATCTATTTATTTCAGTTTAGGATCTTGTTATTTAGCTTACTCTGTTCATATTTTAATTTACTTACTGCTTATAATTTTAATAAGCTTATTCACATTTCCACAATTCTCTATCTTTTTGTATCTTGTCCGTCCAAGAACCCTGAAGAAGACCTGCTAAGTCGGTTCGAAATGTTGGCTTTTAATAAAATAGTTTTACCACTATTTAGCCTATTTATGACCGCCACCCCGGGCCATCTCCTTCCTTTATAAAGCAATGGTCAACTATTAAATATTCAACATTTAATTTAATGGATGCTCAACTGCATCCATTGAAATGCAGCTGCTCCAAATAGGCAGAGGAAGGGTGGGCTGATTCAGGCCGCCAAAGATCTATACAGTCAGTAAAAAAAAAGGAAAATTTAAGTGCATTGAATATATAGTGAACTCTTTCAGATTACATATACCAAAATAAAAGAAGTTCTGGAGGAGATTAAAGCAAGCTTGATGGTGTTGTTATTTCTCAGTAAAATTGCTCAGTTTACAAAAATTATTTTACCAAAATTGCTCACATTGCAGGTACCAAAAGTTTGAAATTACAAAACTATATCCTTTTCAGCTGTTATGGATGCCAAAATTCGCTTATATTAAAATAAAAACATAATATATAAATTCTATGAGTTATTTAAATAAAAGTTTAATTGAAAGAGGATGGAAATAATTTGGAGATAGTATAAAACAGAGATAATAAAAATTAAATAATAATAGAGTATTACTGAAATAAACGTAAAACCTGAGATTAAAGAAAATGAAAAAATATATTAATATAAGAATTAAATTAAAGAAAAATAAGGAAGTTGTCAGCGAAAAGGAAAAGAAGATTGTTATGGATGTTTTAATAAATTTATAATTTATTATTTATATATATATATATTATATTAATTATATAATATTATAATAATTATTTATATATTTATATTATTATTTATTAAAATTTATTACTTATTATTTCCATCCTCTTTCAATTAAACTTTTATTTAAACTAAAAACAATGCCTTAAGGACTTCGAATCAAGAATTACAATCAAGAATGTATAATCCATAGCTGGATGAGTACATTTGAGAATTTAGGAACATACAAAGGGCGGAGTCGTGTATTGTATAAATATATAAATATATATATATATATATATATATATATATATATATATATATATATATATATATATATATATATCAATTTACTACATGTTTATAATACATTAAGATAAATGATTTTGCTAACGTAAAATCTTTAAACATATTTTAACAAGATGCTTTTATTTTATTTTTAAGTCAATCGACATATTGTTTTCAGATTTAGAGCCACCAGCAAAAAGGACGCCAGAAAATAGCCTTAAAAACCACGTAAGTATATTAAATTAAATTTATTAAATAAATGATTCTGGATCAAAAGCCAATAAAATCTTTAACTAAATTAAGTAGAGAAATCTATGTATGATTTTTTTGTTTCAGAAAATGAACACCAAAAAGTTTGACTCTAAGCCTGTATTGGAAGCAGCTTTATTTTTTGACGAAGCCGCATACAAAATTTTCGCACCATATTTCGACTACAATGTCGGGCAGATACGTGACATGTTGCTAGCTTACATGAACGGGGTACTGTGTTGTCAATTACAACTTAGATTTTGACATTTTTTGTGTGGGAGGAATATTTTTTATTAAATCTATCCAACCTTTCCTCCATTCCAGGTACAAGCATTATACCACCACCCAAGTATAGGTAAAAACATCGACATTATGCTAACACATCTGGAAATATTTCGGAAACAACCCCAAGGTCTGCCAGACTACGAAGGAGAAAGAGAATCCCTGCTAACCTCCTTCTGTAACTACCACGCTGCTCAAAATCCTTCTGGAGATGACAATCCTCTGCATTGGGACATTGGATTATATATTTCGGGGTAAGAGAAGTTATATATTCATTATAAATATAATTTCTTTAAGTTATGTACAAGTTGGCATGCCCGAATAATTCGCATAGCATATTAGTCAGTGAACAAATGCCAAAATAATATATTTGATGTTTTGTTGCCTCTACCCTTTAGGGTCATTGGCAACGCCTTTAAATTACACTCTTTTGTCGAGTTTTATCTGTTTTAAAAACTTTAAACTTTTTTTGACTGCACTTTCGCTGTCTTGTAGATTTTCTTTTTGACTCTGTGCCATGTCTAAATTTTCAAAGGAAGGGCAGTCTTGAATAATATGCTTTACAGTCCTTTGGACATTGCAGCTCTCGCAGGTCGGAGGATCAAGTCCTCGTAGTAGGTAGGAGGGCGAGAACTAACAATGTCCAACTCGTAATCTGCAAAGGGTTGTCTCCTCTTTTCGAGGCGATCGGTGAGAGGTTTCCCATTTTAAACAGTGGTGTTTATTTTCTTTTAATTTCGATTCTTTTTGTTCCCACTTGTTTTGCCACATGTTCCACACATTCTCATTAATTCTTTTAACGTAATCCTCTAGAGGGATTTCATTAATTGATTTCACGGATGTTGTATCTGGCTTTCTTGCCATGTTGGCTGCTTGATCGGTTTTTTCATTACCGATGATCCCGCAATGCGAATCTTTATACCAGGCAATTTCTTTGTTTTGGGGATCCCCTTAATGCTTTTCACTTTATTCCAGAGGATAATATAGAAATATGTTAATGCAATATATTATGACGTGAAGGAATTAATTTTCTCTTTATCTGTTAAATTACAATATTTCATTCATATAATTAATCCGAAACATGTGTACGAATTACTATCTTTGCTAAAAATTTTACTATTTCCATGTTCGTATGTATTTTAGGGGATTACGTAATCATTTAAATAATCATGGGTGTAATCAACCATATATTGCATACTTTTTGAGTAATGCGTAAATAAAATATTTTTTTCCTCTTAAACATTTTCCCTGAAATGTTGGGAGAAGTGGCTATTTTTCCCATCTGAAGGAGAAGATGGATCCCATCTACAAATTGATGGATCAATCAATGGATTTGAAGAAGAATTAATGAATATATGGCATTCCGATAAATAAAAATACCTTTGAGAAATAATATATAGTAGATAATATAACCTGATATCATACGCAGAATTTTCTAACGTTTTGGAGGTGAGAATGCTATTGAAGAGAATTTATTGTTCGAAAAATCGTTACCTTAAATTTGTTTTAATATATGGTAAAATAATAATTATTAGAAGGCCTCTTTGGAATCCTTAGTTCCTCAAATCGAAAGCAGTAGCGAAATAAACATAGTCCGTTCTAGGATTATTCGACTTAAAACGGCCACAAACAACAAGCCCAGACATTATCAGATAGCATACCAACAATTTTGATGTTGATTGTTGTTGAAAAATGTTGAGAAACTCGTTGACACGACATGGTATTTTAATGGACAGATTTCCACCGTCCTATATCACACTGCTATTTTACTCTGCCATTTGCTTTTACAAATGTAAAGGAAAGCTGAATTTACTCACAACACGCTACATCATGATTTTAATATACGTAATGTGCCTACTAGGGACGTCATACTATCAAAACTTTCCAAATCTCATCAGGGTTTTTCTCATTTTACTATTCCTAAGAAGCATTCCTCAGCATTATTCATCAAAGGGATGGTTCCAATGATGAAATTAATATAATTTCATTTATCCAAATATCCAATCAATTGGGACAGGACAATGACCACGAGACCATTCGAATTTTAAATGCAGCTGTTGTTCTCTTACTCGGCTTTTTAATGCTAGCTATGTGGATCTTGTGTATTTATTATAATGCTTATAAATGAAATGAATTTATCTCAATGTAAATATAATTTATAGTCTTTAAAACGAGATTTAATAATTTAAAAAATATTGTTCTGACTATAATACATTACTTAACGTTTTTCTAATCGGTTTCCTGTATACTATTTATGACAACACTAATTGTAAGACACTAAGTTCTTTACATCGCTTGTTTATAGAATATGGCGTACATTTATAAGTTTAAATTTGTTTTTTTCTAATTTTCAGATTAGATTTCTTCGCTATAGAGAAAGGAAGAAAAAGTGGAACAACAATGGGTAAGCAAGATCCCTTCTCATAGATCTGCCTCATTCCAAAATTCCTTTATAGCCCGCTCTGTCAACTTTTAGAATTCCCTCGAATTCGATCAAAATTCGACATGCCCCTTCCCTATACACATTCAAAAACCTCCTATTCCAATTCCTGTTCCAAAAACAGTCAGATACCAGCTAACTATTAATATTATATATGTATTGTGTAGCAATCGTATAATCATAATACTTGGTAAGAGATAGTACATGCATTTCCTACTGTCGACGTAGGAATTTCAATACATACATTTTTTTTTTTTATTCAATTATAATTAACTGTTTATTTTTATATATATATTCAAGTAAAGTTTTTTTGTTTTTTTTTTTATGAAATGAACTCATTGTATCTCTTTTTCGTTCTTCATTTCTCAAATTGTATGTTTATGTTTATGTTGTTCAACCCTTATATATAATTTTGTTCATAGTTCAAGTGATTCGTTCATAGTTTTAATTGTTTTGTTCATAATTTTAAATGCTCTGTACATAGTTTTATCTGTATTGTATATAGCTTGTGCACCTAAGGTTTTCTTTACTTTTTATTTTATTTTAACAATTTTATTTATTGTTTCGAACGTTTAGGCCAGTAATATTCTATTATTTTGTACATTATTGTTATTCTGAAGGGACTTAGTCCCAGAATAAAGTTTTTTTTTCTATCTATCTATCTATCTATCTATATATATATATATATAGACAGAGAGAGAGAGAGAGAGAGAGCGAGAGGGAGAGAGAGTGAGGTTTAATCATGGATCATTTAATTGCGAACAAAAACAAGTTCTGATAAACTGATTAAAATTCGTTCTTGTGAAAATAATAATGACATTTTTATTAAAAGCGCTCCCTTCTTTCCATTATTTTTTCAGACGTGTTGTACAATACGAACAGTTAAAAATATTATGGCTATTTGATGTTTTATTTCTAAATTTTTAATTACTTTTATCATTATATTGTGGCGTTTTGTTGTGGTTTTAATATATTTTAGTAACATCGTATATCTTATTCCATATTTTTCATTATATGGAATATTCTTGGTCCAACTATTCGAGTTAAACGTTTTTTTTTTAAAGTAGTTAAAATTCAAAAGGATATCATATATGTTTGATCGACTTCCAGGACTTGCAGTGGTTGGAGGAGTGTGCTTGGACAAGTACTCATGTATCATAGCTGAGTTTGGAGTGACGAATGTTTTTGGAAAGCCTTACCCTTCTGCAGGTTTTACTTCGGTTTTCATCCTTGCTCATGAAATAGGACACAGGTAAATTTTTAAGCAGCGTGGAAAGTTTTAAACAGATCAAGATCCATTAACGTATATGTAAAAATTAAATATAATTTATTATTGTTATTTAGCTTAGGAATGCATCATGACGGATACACCAATGACTGTCCCAAGGAAGGTTTTATAATGTCCCCATCGAGAGGAGTTTTCGGCGAAACATTATGGTCCAGATGTAGTGCCGAAATTATGAATACCTTAGAGTAAGTTTTTTTTGTTTGCATGTTTTTTTAAGAGCTATAAAGGTTGAAGATAATATATTGTGACCCTAATTTTATAATCAATCTTGTGAGAAGTTTTCACAAGAGAAGAGTGTGTTTTGTTATGGCGAGCACCTTAATCATTTTATAGCTAAACTTTACTATTTTGAGTATAGATATTTTAGTCATTTAAACGAATAACAGCATATATGAACAATATACTTAATGGAGGGGAGAGGGACAGACATAAGCCATTTATTCTGTATGGTATGTTTGGATATGATTTTTACAATGTGTGAAATCAGTACCACTAACAACCCCTGGAGTGTCTTGTCTTGGGTACAGTACTATGTGAGGAAGTACTGTTACAAGGCCATCGGTTATACAGGGGTTTTTCGCCTTAATTAATTATTTAATTAAGAGTACCCACTTATAGAGGCTGGGTGTGCCCCAGGGCCAATGAAAAATTATTAATCATCAGCCAAAGTCGAACCTGGGGCCTTGAGGTCTGATAGTCAATGATCACCCACTGAGCAATTTCGCTCCCGTTACAACGTATGTATTTATTTAAGTTGGAAAGGTTTTTTTTTTTTTTTTAATGTATTTATCTCAGCACAAAAGATAAAAAAACATCGATGTCTTCAAAAAATGAATGTTGCAATTTTCATAATCCGTTATATATTAGTATTTTTTTTTTGTTTCTACCAAGCTCAATCATATTGCAGCCAGATTTTTAAATATTTTTTTCACCTTGAAAATTGGTTACAATTATATGGGATTTGTCGCCCATAGAATATGAGCTGACTATCTTCCATCGCGGATAGTTCACAACTAAATTATTTTTTAAAAAGAATTATTTTAGCTTTTGGTGATGTATTTGTAAAAAAAAAAAAAAAAAATGAATATATGTATTTTGGTGTAACAGATGCATATAAAGAAATTAACTAACTAAACAATTATTTATTTTTACATCTACAGTACTTGGGCAACTTGCTTATACGATACAGCTGAGGTCAACAACGAACTGGATCACAGAAAGTTCGGAGAAACGCCAGGTTTGGTTTGGAACTTGAAGAAACAATGCGAACTACTGCTTAAGGACAAAGATGCTGATATTTATAGCACTGGCAATGAAGAGGTAAGCCTTCAAAAAATTAATAAAGATTTTATAAAATTAATAAGCACTTAATCATTTCCTGATAAACCTCGTTTCGAAAGTTAAATGAGTAAATATATAACTATTAATCAGATCGTATGGTGCCAAAGGATTCACATATATGAATGCTAAAAAGGAAACGGATGAAAAATAAATTTTATTCAGTGACCTGTTGTTCCCTTAGATAATTGCATATATTAAATTTAAATTCGTTTGAATATGTTTTGTTACTAACTTATCGAAAATGAATAATCATTACAAGTAATAAGAAGGTATGTGATGTAATATGTACCAAAGTAATCAATACAGTGAGAGGTGGTATTGTATATAGTTATTGGCACAAGCAGATCTACGGGGGGAGCTTTCGGGCTGAAGCCCTCCCCTCCCCCAAATGGTAAAATGTAACCCTGTTTTATAATAATAATAATAAGGCTTAGCGAACCCGAAGGTTCGATGCCGACACCACCAATCGCTTGTTACACACCTCCCTCCATCGTTCGCCGTCCAAACCCAGTCCCTTCAGATCAGCTTTAATGCAATCTTCCCACCTTTGCTTCGGTCTACCCCTCGGACGCTTACCATTCGGCACAGCAAATATTAACCTTTTAGGAATTCTCTCGTTACTAAGCCCAACAACTTTACAAGCCCATTTGATTCGCCGCGATGAAATTACCTCAATTATATTACCCGGATATAGCTCACGCAATTCGGCGTTGTGTAACCGTCTGAACTCTCCGGTTAACTCATCCTTCTTCGGTCCGAATATTCTACGCAATACTTTATTTTCAAAAACCTTAAGACGCTGCTCATCCCTTAATGTAAGCGGCCAAGTTTCGCATCCATAAAGAACTGTAGGCAAGATAATTGTTTTATAGATTCTAATTTTTAAGTTTCGGGACAAGAGGCGCGAACTGAGTAGTTTTGTCACAGAAAAATAACAAGCATTCCCCGCCTTCAGTCTAACTTTAATCTCTTCTTCAATTTCGTTTTTTCTAGTTATCGTAGAACCTAGATACCTAAATTTATCTACCTGTTCAAACATATTACCATCTATATCGATATCACCAGTAGTATCGCCATTTTTGCAGCTAACCATATATTTTGTTTTATCCACGTTTATTTCGAATCCTAGTTCTTTACCGGCTTTCATTAACGTTGTCGTATTTAGTTTTATAGTTTCAACGTCTTCGCTTAACAGTACCAGATCATCAGCATAGCCCAGCACGGATGTTGTCCCGCCCAGATCCAACCCTTTCTCGGTACGCATTACCTCCCTAATGGCATGTTCTAATGCCAAATTGAACAGGACAGGCGAAAGAGAATCCCCCTGTTTTAAGCCCGAACGAACCTCAAATTTTTCGGACAAATTATTACCGATTCTAACTTTATTGAGTGTCTCCGTCAAGCACATCCTGACTAGATTTACTAGTTTTTTTGGAATTCCCTAACCCTGTTTTATGGAAACAAATATTTTTCAAATATCTATTAATGCATTATTGTACATGTAACTTACATTTAAAATGACTTCAAGAATCACTTAAATACCATTTCATATAAGTAGTTAGTATCTTTCTTTTTTTTTTTTTAAATAATTATCGTTTTGTACCATTATATTGAAGTGGTTATATGGACTCTATTTTTTTCTAGGGCCCACATAAATTACCAAAAATGTAGTTCAATAGTATTACTCCTGTATATATATATATATATATATTGAGGTGGGGAAGGGGAGGAGTAATATATATAAATATGTATATAGGAGTATATAATATTATAGTAATATATATATATATATATATATATATATATATATATATATATATATATATATATATATTATTATAATTACTATAATTATAATTACACCTGTTTTTTTTTTATTCTTATATTAAGTCCACATTTTTATTGGAATTGTTTGCCAAAGTTTTTATTCCGCGTCTGCTTTCTAATTTGCAAAGTTTTACTAACTACTTGGGTTGATACTGATATTGATACTGAACCATTAATACCATAAATAACTGTTGTTACCTTAACACAGCCATCTCCAGTCAATCGTTCCATGATAGTTATGCCAATATTTTAAGCCACTAACCAAGTGAATATTTCACATAATCTTCCAAACCGTCGGTCACAAGGTTAATCAGCCGATCAAATAAATCGTAAAATATGAACAAAGCTTCCAAAAGGCATTTCAAAAGGTATAGGAGCAGCTTAAAAAATTTGTTGTAAAATTTTGGAAATCTGAAAAGAAAAAAAAAACAATATCAGTATAATCACATATTACTGAAATCTTGTAATATAAATATATTAATACCTATATTATATATATTAATAAATAAAAATATAGTAATGGTAGTAGGTACCAAGAACAAAATGTCTGTTAATCTTTAAAATCTCTCTCTATAGACATTCTTAAAAAAAAGTTCCATATCTAGGTGGAAAAATTACGTATATATCTTTTACAAATAAATTACTTAATAAAATGAATTGAAATTCTTAACTCATTGTTTGGTATATGTTCCTACGTGCACTTGTGGAAAAATTTATTCATTAAACATTTGGGCTTGTACAAAAAAGAGAACACAATTGTTGCTACATAGGTTATGAAATACAAAATGTATTACTTTTTGTGATATATTTTTCTGTAGATAAAAAAAATTAAACTAAAAAAAAAATATTTCAAAAAGAAATATTACAAACTTTAATATATGTGACACTTGGTGATTTATTTATAAACGGTCTTGGTTCAAAGAACATCTAAAAACAAAACTATAGATTGATTTTGCTATTTCTGCTGCTGAGAAAAATTAATGATGTTATCAATGAACTTCAAAGTATTCAGAACACGATGTTCACTAAACTATTAATGAAATAAGAATGCTTTCTCATTATTATCAAAAAGGAATATAATTAGATTTAACAAACCAAAAATAGAAGAATACTTTAATTTTTTTGATTAAAATTCGATGCTTGAAATAAGTCTTGATTTTGAAATGGCCCATATATTTAAAGTCTGCAGTAATTAGTTAATAAAAAATATCCATATTTATTAAAAAGTCGATTTTCTTATTCGGAAATGTTTAGACGGTTATCGGGATTAGTTTGGAAAGTAAGCTCAAATTCATATGGGTGAGTATGGACAATATGTGAAATGTGAGGGAGGGCATATGATACATTGAAGGTTTTTTTATTATTTTATTAAAGACATAATGGGGCATTGAAAATTACACGAAGAATTTCTAATGATAAAGTTTTGAAAAGAAAGAAATGGATAATTTCTTGGTGTCTAAACTATATTGTCAGGTAGATGAGCCTTTTTTAATTAATTGGAAATTATTATTGTAATGTTGAAATATGTTTTATAAGGAAATTTTTAATTTAATTTGGAATGAATATCACGTATTAAGTCGATTCATTGTCAGTAGCATGGTAATTAAAAAAATGGTAATTGGTAAGAACAATAATACTTTTATGGGTAAATTTTTGGTATATAGATTTTTTGACAAATGCTTACAATTATTAGTTGAAATATGTCCAAACCTTAGCCCATTTGTTTGACTTAAAATGAGGCACAATATTAATTGGTACAACATGATCTTGTGAAAGAGACTATAACACGTATTAGTAGAAAAAGGCCTTTTCAGTCTAGATAAATAATAACTTTATTTCAAATTTTCGCCTCCTCAGGCATCTCCAGGGATAATCTGATTTTACAAGTAATTCAAAATTTTCATCGGAAAATTTGGATAAATTTGAAAAAAGTTACTATTTATTGAGACTGTAAAGGCCTTTTTCTACTAATTGGTACAAGGTAAAAATAAATAAAATATCAGTTGATATTAAACTAGTACAGTTTTTGCTAATTAAAAAAAAATGAGCTATGGGGCTCCACTAAACCATCGAATTCCTCTCGCATCCAATCCTTACAATCCAAAATCCTTCGTAAAATCCTCAATGCTCCTTACTTTGTCACTAATAAAATTATCCATAAAGATCTTAATGTTCCTTATGTTTCAGATCTGGCCCAATCCAGATACCTATCCTTCCATAATAAACTTCAGAATCATCCCAACCCTCTCGTTTCTAACCTTGCTTCCTCTTCAATTCCTGATAACCCTCCGAGGCGTCTGAAAAGAAGATGGCCCCGTGATCTCCTAATATAGTCATATCATTAGAGTGCTACCATTGGGTAGTTACTCAGCAAGTGTATTCATGTCATTATATCAATTATGTCCAAATTTACTTGATGTATTTATGTAATACAGTTGTAAATGTCATAAAGAAATAAAAAAAAAAAAATAAAAAAAATATGTATATAAAATATATAAATATATAATATATATTTAAAAAAAGGAGAAGAAAGAGATAGAAAGACAAAAAAAAAAAAAAAAAAAAAGAAAATTCCACCTAAATAATGCAAAACGTTAATTTGAAAATTAAAACATACAAATTTGTAAAATAACATTGTACAAGTTAAAGAATGGAAATATCATTAGTTAGGAATATTCATGCAATTTATCGCTCTAAAACCTCTAACTTAAACCAGTACAGGTTACCAGATAAAGAAATTGAAGAACTTATAAATAAATGATGTAGTGAGTTATAATATCATTAGAATACGATGTGTTATATATAAAAATAAGATTATACAACAAATAAAAGTTAATTTAGTGTGTAAGTTAAAAGTTAAACAAAGTTGTGATAAAATATCAGTTAGTATTAAAGTAGTATAGGTTACCAGGAAAAGAAATTAGAGAAATTATAAGAATACGCCTATAAACTTATAAGAATACTCCTCCTCAGAATATAATCACGGACAACCTTTTTTTCCTTGTTCTTCCCTACCTCGCCTTTTAAACTATACGGGATTTTCTCTGGCCGGAGGGTGAGAGCGGGGAATTTAAAATCCCCTCTGGCACCTGGACGCGAACTCGTACTTTTTTTAATCTCATAACTTCGGTTATCTGGTTGCCGGGCAACTCGCGGTGCTTGTAGCCCATCGGCCACTCACAACCATTTCCATATTATTTTGAAGAAAAAAAAATTTCCTTTTTTTTTTGGAATGGAGGTTCATCCCAAAAGCCCCCTCTCCTCCCCCTTTGAATCCGTTATTAAGTCCTTAATATTATATTCTATATTATATTATATCCCCGTTATATTCTAGAGTGATAAGCGGTAGAATAGTGCAAGATAATTTGACGTAGGAATCATTAAAATTTTTTTTTTTTTTTTTATAAATATAACCGTACAATCTTCATTTAAATAAAAATTTATTATATATTCATTTTTTTTTATTTATGTACTAAAGAAAAGTGCAAATGAAGTAACAAGTTTGTTTCGCAGGATGTTTGCCAGAACGTGCAGTGCAGGACCCCGCACAGGGCAGGTTTCTACTATTCGGGCCCAGCGGTGGAAGGCACTCTCTGTGGGAACAATAAGGTGGGTAATGGAACCATCAATTTATATTACTGTTATTGCCATCATAGCTCTCCAAAATTAGCATCTGAATTCTTTGTTTGTACGCAATTTCATGTTTGATGAATCATTTAAATAAAATATCGAACATTCTTCACCAAATCTGGCACTCCCTTTGTCTGTCTCCTACCCACTTGTCTAAACGTTGTTTATTTATATCCAGGATCACTGACCGTCTGATTAGTTGTTTTACATTGTATATGTGTGCTACATTCATGAGAAAACCACCTAAACTTTTATTTGATGCTTAAAACTTATTTTTTGGTTGGGACTAAACACATGCATGAGAAAGTGAGATCAAACAAAGAATGGCATATAGATAAGCAAATATCAAGTTTGCATGGAAATTGTATTCAATTTAGGCGAAAAAAAAACCCATTGAAATAAAATTTCATAAGTTTAAAAAAGGTTATGTAATATTTACATGAAATAAAAATAATACAATTTCAAGGAAAAATTAGAATAAAGTTAAGTTCTATTATATTTACTGTAGAGTGAAAGAGATCAATGAGTAAGGCACTGCGCTCCTATTATCAAGGACCCAGGTTAAAAATAATTATTCATTCTTTTTCATCGGCAGTGGATCGATCCTGGTGTTTGGAGACCCTCCTAGTGCACACTCAGTCCTTATAAGGCCGGTACCTTTAATTAATTAGTTTATTAGGGGGGGAAACCTGGTGATTGAGCATGATTTCGGCTTCATGACCTCCATACACAACCGTTGGCCTTGTAACAGTACTTCCTTACAAAGTACTAAACCCGAGACCCTTCGTGGGTTGTATTGGTACAGGATTCATGTTATTTTAATATATTTAATAATATTAGCATACATATGTTTTGACGTATCAATCATATTATTCTACAGTTTATTAATTTAAAAATTAACGTTTTGTTTTTTAATATGTTTATTAGATGATATGAGGTTTTATTAAAATATTTTTAAAAAATCCGTACAAGCCTTAGGGGTTATTCAGGAGGAATTGTGGACAATATCCACGTTCAATTACTAGATCCCTCCTAATCAATTCGGTTGAATTGATAAATGCCCAGTTTATAAAAGGATGAGTGTGCCACAAGAGAGTTTTCCGACAGTTGAGTCGAGTCACGGCTGGTAAAACAGTTAATATTTTGTCGGAACCGAACTCTTGATAAGTTGAGTTTCACACTGTCTTACCTAACAATAAATGAATAGGCCGACAGTTGCGGGAAGTATTGGAGGAAGGGGAAAAATGCATAAGATGACAACAGTGTTCAATGCATCGGAGGGATAAAGGATGAAATGCTATACAAAAAAGAGTAGCACAGTAATCACTTTATTACCTGTAATATTATATGATTATTAACTATACGGTTTATTTGTGATTTATTTTTCATTATTGTTGTTGCATATTGGATATATTGTTGTTTGTTATTAATGTGTGAATTATTTTAAATAAATCACCAATGAATCGTATAATCATTTTGTTTTATTTATTTGTTGTTTTCTTTTGATTGTCAAGTGGTGCAAAGGTGGTGAATGCGTCACGATAGATGAAATGGGGCAAAACAACATAATCGTTGGTGAGTGGAGTGAATGGTCTACTGACAAATGCCAGTCAGGCTGCATCCTTAATTCCAAAGGTAATAATTAATTCTTAATTCTTACGAATTCTTTGTTTGTAAATAGCAAATAATCTCTGTAAATATAAACTTTTAATGAGAAAATAATTAGTTTTGAGTAACATAACTTTCACCAATATCTTTGACGTGCCTGTTGGCTTTTGTTTATTATACTGATTTATTTATATAATACAGATTTTTTTTTTTTAATATAAAGTATATAAAGTCTGTTGCGGTGCATCAGATAATCTAATCTCAGAAAAAAATAATTTTATGTAAGTTAATAAACCTTAAGAATATTTCTTTGATTATGAATACAATCTTAAGAAATTATTATAACTTCTGAAAATTATGTGCATACAATATATTTAATTAATTAAGCTGTTTTTTTAGAACATGTTTATTGAGAAATATTACAATCTGTCTCAAAGGACATTATAAACTAAAAAAAAAAGAAGAATGATTTCAATACATTTTCAATGGAAACTTTTACTTGTTATTCAATAACATAAAAGATATTATTAACTACAATAATTAAAAGTAATTAATCTTTCGTCATTCTACTTTCTACAACTTCGTGTTTAATTGTGCGAAATTGTGTTATCTCCCAGGTTTCTGTCATAATCGATGCGTATTTATAAGTTATAAACTTAATGTTTCTAGCCCTAATATTTACGTTTTAATAAAAATAATTAAAGCAATCAGTAGATTTCTTTATTTTAAACGTAAATTTTAGTAAAACACATTAAGTTTGTCACTTATAAATAGGCATCCATTCTTATGAAAGAAATCTGGAAGATAAACACAATTTCATAACCATCTTACATGAAAAATATTTGAAAAATCATTATTTTTAAATTTTTAATTTTTAAAATAAAATGTGTTTTAGGCAATTATGTTTATTACAATACATTCTATATCGCGGAAAAACAAAATATAAAATCTTTGAAACGGTTAATTGTAGTAATTTTTGTGAAAACACGGATACTTTTAGGTGTCTGGGTAGAAAATCACATAATTTCTTTGCACAACTTGAGGTGAATCTCAAAATTTTTCTAATAAATCTCATTTTAATTAATGCGGGCTTAAAGCTTATAAAACAAGAAAGTTTTTCTAAAAGTGGGGGAACTGTAGCACAGTTGAAAAATTATTTTTTTTATTTCAATGAAATTTACAACTGTCTTACATGGAAAATACAACAAGTAAATGTGACTTTGGTAACATGACATGGACAACATAAAGAGAAACTACCCATTGGTAGAACGCTTCGGTTATCAGAAGTAGTCGAAAACATCGGGCGGTTTCTAGTCGTTTCAGTCTGGTATGGGGGTTCCAAGTGAGTCGTTTGTCATGGTGGAGTCCTAAGTATCGGATTTGTTCGACAGGTATAAGAGGGCTATTGTTGAAGGATACTGTAGGACAGGAAGTCATAGGTTTACGACTAAGAGTAAAGGTAATTTGATGGGATTTTATTTTTAATCCTCCAGTTTTTACACCATTCTTCAAGACTTGTGATGTGTGATTGAAGAGTTTGGGATGCAATAGATGGATCGTTATTAACTGATAGGATAATAAAGTTCGGATACCCTTTATTTTAAGACCCGCATGAAACATCAAAGTGAAATGTAATACTGACTACATCATACATTATACAATGAAGCCTACTTATAACATTAGTGAAGTATTTTCATGTGAAATAATACCACAAAGTTTTCTCAGTTTGATACGTAACAGATTCTCTACCTTAAGAAAGAAACAAAATTGGTCTGAACTCCTTTTCCGTTAGGAATCGGTTAGTCATCAAATGAACCTTTTTGTTGGAAATTTTGTCTAGAATCATCGCCCAGAGTTTGACAATTAAGAACTGAGATGCGTTGTATATAAGTAAGGATCAATTTTCCACTTCTCTCCTGAGATCCTCATTCCTATGATGGATTTTGACGAAGGAGGAATTAAACGGAAGGGAATTTCGTAAAGTGATGAATGCTAATTTAAAATGTTATTACGATACCTATAAAAGTCGTGATAAATCACAATTCTTGCCGAATGCCTCTTAGGTGCTAATGGTTAGCCATGGAGTACTTATCACGTTTTGTTTAGAATTTTAAAATAAAAATATTGCTATTTATGATAGTTTACGAATTGACTAAAAATCAATTCGTCATCGGCATAGGTGGAGATGACAGTGTTGGTAAAAAAAAATTATTTTAATTTTAAAAATTACAAATAATTTATGATTTTTTTTTCAAAAGGAACTTAGCCGAGTTTGTCTGCTGAATAATCCTGTTTATATGATTTTAACAATGACAATCTCTACTTTTGGTTGAAGTAAATTTTGTTTTGTTTACTATGGAGCAATGTTTAATTCCTTAAATCAATTTTTTTTTTTAGTTATCGTTTCTTAATCAACAAAAAATTTTACTCGCTTAGCAAAATACAAATTTTAAATTTCCTACTATTCTGCTGGGAATTGGGCTATTGTTTATATGAACTTTTTTGTAGATCTTGATGTCTGCTATCAGTCCTATAAAAATTTCTCCCTACTTACGGAACACCCTGTATATTTCATGTACGGGTAAGCGATTGTAATATTTCAGAGTAAAAACTTCTTTATTTTAATTGAGGAGGATTTTAAATTTATTTCAAAGCCTAGTGGTAAGGTTAGAAAGCGACGCCTTGGAATGAATACCATGTCGGCAAAATATTATCTCAAGAAGCTGCTTTAGCAGAATCAGCAGAATACACCGTTTCCTTCCAACTCTCTTCACGCAACAGATCAATTTTTGTTATTTGTATTGACATAATTAATAATCTTATTTTGTTTCCCCTACTGCTAAATATATGTGTAATTGACTACGATATATCTTTCTCACCGTCTAAATTTTCATATTTCAAAAAAATTATAAGAACTTGTTCATTGATAAATATTACAATCTGCCCAAAGTACATTTATAATAGTGTTCAGAGATCACATTCACACTATATGTACAATCAATAAAAAGAAACTAGACAGAAAAATAATATATATATATATATATATATATATATATATATATATATATATATATATATATATATATTCAATAAATACGAATAAAATAAATAAATAAAAATTTCAAAAAATTATTTTTTTTATAAACCATAACGGATAATACGAAATTACATCTTGTCAGCCGGTTTATGAACATATTTAATAATAGTATTTTCTATCTGTAGGCCACCCCTAATGAAGTTTAAAAGTTACTTGTAAAAAACTAAATTAAAAAAATAAGTAAAAATATAATTATAATAAAAAAATTAAAAATAAAATAAAATAATAATAAATACCAGTGAGAGCTCTCACATTAGATAATTATTATTCTCTCTAATGCATTTGACATATCAGCGTAATATATTTATTCCTATAATAAAAATATATTAATATCATATATCTTTGCGGCTTTTTTCGTAATGATTCACTTAATAAGCGATTAGCTTGTCCCACCAGAAAATATCTCTCCAGTTTAATAATCATGCAATAAGACAGTTATCCTGAACTTGCACTAATCCATCATTGTACTCTCTCAAAACTTATTTGTTAGGTGCTAAATAGTCTTGGTTTTTAGTTTTCTTGCTTACAAGGAATATAGAAGTTTATTAGTGAGAGTATAAAAGCGCCATAACTGAATATTTTTTTATTTATTAAAAATACCCAAAAATGTGTTTCTATATTATCCTCACTGTCCAAAGGATTATAGAGCTATTCTTCTCCATTTATTTTATCAATTGATTTTTAGTCAATTCGTAAACTATCATAAATAGCAATATTTTTATTTTAAAATTCTAAACAAAATGTGATAAGTACTCCATGGTTAACCATTAGCACCTAAGAGGCATTCGGCAAGAATTGTGATTTATCACGACTTTTATAGGTATTGTAATAACATTTTAAATTAGCATTCATCACTTTACGAAATTCCCTTTCGTTTAATACCTACTTCGTCAAAATCCATCATAGGAATGAAGACCTCAGGAGAGAACCGGAAAATTGATCCTTACTTATACACAGCGTGTCTCAGTTCTTAATCGTCAAACTCTCGGGGGGGGGGGGAGGAAGTGATTTTAGACAAAATTTCATTTTTGTGGTATTATTTCACATGAAAATACTTTACTAATGTAATAAATAAACCTCATTGTGTAATGTATAATTTAGTTAGTATTACACTTCACCGAACTTTCTGAATATATTCAGTCTGATCGCTCTGCTGACTCTTAAAAACCAAGACCTGTTTAGCTTATCATACCCATTAATTATAGTTAAAATGTTCAGTTTAATTATATATGCCAGTTATTTTGTTTATATTACAGTTAGCTATAATCAGCCAGTTAGTGTGTTTTATATCACATTTAATGAAAGCAGCTAATTATTATTTTATTAGATTTATTTTGTGTTTTTTTTTTCAATTTAATCAAAATCAACTATGGAAGATTGGATCGGTAATGCTTAGTGACTTTAGTTTGAGTGAGACTCCTGCTTTAAAACTTTCCTTCTAGGTCGGTTCCTTCTAGATTCGATTTTAGAAGTCATCACATCCTGATTTAACCCATGACTGGTACCATGAAATGTATATTTTAATTTTTACAGCTTTAAGTGGAAGTTTGTCCTGGGTCAACTTTTTCTTATACTCTCTACATTATAAGTATTATTATTTTTTTTTTTTACGGATTAAACCTAAGAGATAATGGTGTAAATATAGTAAAAAAAATATTACAAAAATTAAATTTTTTACAGTTTTAGTTTATTTCTTTTTTTTTTTTAATTTAAAAAACAACTTTAATGACTGCAGTTTTCCTTTCCCATTCCAAATAGAATCCATTTCTTCTTTTTACAGCAAATGAAAATTCATGGAGATCTTGGTTTTTATTAAATAAGAAAGAATTGCTCAAAAACTGTTCAAGATAATTAAATTCTAATTACACCATCGTAAAGTAGACATTTTAAAAAAAAAAATTTCTAAAGAAACAGTGATTAAATTTACTAAGGTTAATGACAAAAGGGCCTTCAGGAGATCTAATACGACCGATGTACAGAGATATGCTGCTCGTGTATGGTGGGTATTGTAACTGCAAGAGTACAGCGACCGTTTTTAAACTCCTGAAAGTCCCTGTTATTATTGGCTTTGGTAAATTTAAAGTCCCTTTATCATTGACCTTAGTAAATTTAATCACTGTTTCTTTAGAAATGTTTTTTTTTTTTTAAATGTCTACTTTACGATGGTGTAATTAGAATTTAATTATCTTGAACAGTTTTTGAGCAATTCTTTCTTATTTAATAAAAACCAAGATCTCCATGAATTTTCCTGAGCGCATGAATTTTCATTCGCTGTAAAAAAAAAAGAAATGGAATCTATTTAGAATGGAAAAGGAAAACTTCCGTGATTAAAGTTGTTTTTATTTCTTTTAAAAATAAAGAAACAAATTAAAACTGTAAAAAATTTAATTTTTGTAATATTTTTTCACTATATTTACACCATTATCTCTTTGGTTTAATCCAAAAAAAAAAAAATAATACTTATAATGTTGAGAGTATAAGAACGAGTAGCCCCAGGCCAAATTTCCACTTAGAGCTGTAAACATTAAAGTAAATTCAAAGTCCCTTTATCATTGACCTTAGTAAATTTAATCACTGTTTTCTTTTTTAAGATGTTGTACTTAGAATTTAATTATCTTGAAGAGTTTTTGAGCAAACCTTCTCATTCAATAAAACCGTGACTACCTTAAAAGTAACAAAAAATTGGTCTTAACTCCAGGGTCCATTCATCAAATGAACATTTTTGTTGCAAATTTTGTCTAGAATCATCCCCCAGAGTTTGGCCATTAAGAACTCTGAGACACCGTGTATAGTAAATATATAATAAATATAGTAATATAGCATTATGTATAGTTTAGAATATAGTGAATCGAATTTTAGTTTAATTATTATAAAACCATAGGATTTGAATTACGTCTTAAGACAATTACTTAACACATGGTCAGAGATTAAATTAAAAAAAAAAAAAAATGTTAAACGTATCATATTCAAGGGTGATAAATATTCAGGACGCAGTCATTATACAGTTTCTATTTTTGTCGACGTTTCAATCCAAACATGTGGGTTATCATCAGGGCTGAAAATTTTTAAATAAAATCAGAGATATAATATTATACGACAGATACTAGTTAATAATAAACAAAAATAGCGATTGATGGTATAATAAAATAGACAAATGAAATATATAAAAATTTACAAAAACTAAAAATAATTTATATCGTCAATTTAGAAAAAAAGTGTAATATTTTCTCTTACGTTTCGAGTACTGAAGGTATTCAAGTACTGTACTTAAATAGATAAGTAAAAGGATCGGTGGAGGATTTTCCTGATGTGCTTTTAAGATAGCAAAAGGTAGGTAAATATAGTCAGAGGGGAGGGAGAGGTGAGTAAATAATTTGAATATATGCATTATGCAGTATTATATTCCACATATATAGTATACGTAGAGTGCTAGATAAATACCATATAGTCTTTAAATAAAGTCTTAATGAATGAATGGCATGAGTTTAATTTAAAATTAAAATTAAATTTATTTTATGATTTTTGACAGTTTAATTATATGATTATTAACTATAATAATATTAATCAAACATAAATTATGTCATATACAGTATCCTTAAGGATATATCTAGAACGCACCTCTCTATATTCTCCATTCTGTCAAGTTCTCCACACCCGTGCAAGGCATACTGGCGTCATCTAGGCTGTTTCAAGCAGTACTTTAACGAAGCCACACCTCCAAGATATTCTCCCCTATATATAACCTAAGCCTATGTTGAAGCATTTTAAATACCTCGATGTGATATTCATTGAACAGTGAGGATTTCAATGGACAAAGAAGAAAATATTAAATGATTTAATAATTAATTTTGCCTTAACAGGAATTCGCGTGAAAATTTATATAGGGGATCCCTTAAGTAAAGGAGAATATTTAAACGGATGATAGTAGAATTCAAGAGCTACAAACAAGTTCATAAAAACTATGGTAAGATTTTGCACAGGGAGGCATGAAATTTACGTTTTGTGTTTTTTTAAAGTAAGTCACGTTTTTTGTTGAATAGGAAGCAATAACTAAACAAAATTTTTAATTTAGATAATTACCAATTTCTACATAGTGAACTATACATAATGTACTTTAAATTAAATTAGAGTTTGCCATTGTTAAAACCATAAATTATCAGCTATTTTTTTTTTTTTATCATCCTCCAACTACACGATAAATATCCCATTTTTAGAAAAAAAAAATAATAACTTCTTCCTTTGATGAGATTTAAGTTCATATTAATTAAGTTGGGGTTTATTAGGGAAAAACTTAAGATTCACCTCAAGTTGTGTAAAAAAATTATGTGAGGAATTTTCAATGGCTAAATAATGTAACCTCAAACAAAAAAATCCATTCTTATATATATTCTAGAGAGAAATACTTAATTAAAAGTAATGCTGTCCTACTATATAGGGTTGCTTCATACACAGCATACTTATCAATCCATATGGACATAACTATTATATTACATTTTTCTATTTTTATATATATATATATATATATATATATATATATATATATATGGCATATCTTTCCTTTCTTTTTCTTTTTTTTTTTCTCACTTTTCATAACACTACTTCTATAAATTATCAACAATAAACCATATTAAACTATAGACATTGCATAACAAACATCTTCCTAAAATAAAAAAAATAAAATTAAATTACAGAAACTTCCTTGTTAAATAAGCTTTAAGTCCACATCGTTTCTGCCTTGTTGCATACAAATATTATGTGATTATGTGTCATCTCAGAGTACACGTTTTTGCACCAAAAATAACAACGATAAATTACTACAATTTCACTTGTTACTGTGGCCTGGGATGTTTTGTAATAAAGTAGCTATCAAAATACTTTATTTATTTTCAAAAATTATATTTTAAAAACTGTTTTTTTTTTTTTAATTCTTCAACTTAGGTGATAATGATAATATAATGAGCCATTTTTTTTTAAACAGATTTTTATTTTTGGAACTGGTCCTTATTGTATCAAGTGATCAGTTAAATATTTTTAATCCTAATATTTTTTTTCATAAAAAAAAAAATATATTTCACCATGAAACAATTTAATTATGTTCAGTTAATTGTTTTACTACTATTAAAATGTTTTTTAGTAATCGCTTCTTAGAGAGTAAACGTGACTTATTTAAAAAAATATTATATTTATATTTCCTGCTTTTTTGTGCAAAATTAAAACAAAAAGTTACTATAAATTTTGTTGGCTCTTGAGATCTACTATCACCTATTTAAATATTTTCCTCCTTACTTATGGGGTATGTTTTATTATGTATTAGCGACAAGATGATTATATCATAAGAATTATTATATCTGGTTCTTATTACTGATAAGTAAAATGTCTCTATTTTTTTCCATTAACAAAATATAATAATTTATGTAATTTTAGTTTTTCAACACTTTGAACCCAATTGAACACTTAAATAAAAAAATAAAGAAAACTAAACATATTTAAGGAAAAAAATATTTTTTTTTTAATATTTCGTTCACATTTTATATAAGTTAAATTAAAAATATATTAGACAAACTTATATCAGAGTTTTACTTAAAAAAGAGAGTTGAGAAAACATAAATTGAGGTAGATCCTCAAGATAAATTCGGAACACATTTTTTAATAATCGATATCTTCTCAATAATTGTTTTAACTTTAATTTTAACTCCTCGCTTATAAATTAAAATAATATTATTATTTATCTTTAAATAATTGAAATATTATTTGTATTCACAATACCTATTTTTATCTTACGCGCCATTCTTGATTAATTTTCGATCTATTTGAAGCGTTTTTAACTTTTGAAACTTCTTGTTTATAATAATCACATATTAATTATTAAAAAAAATTATTAGAGAAAATCCATATCAGATACTGAGTTCAGACAAAAATATTTACCACCTTTTAAATCATAATCCAAATTTTCTGCTTCAATAAACATAAAACATCTTTATGAGAATTTTTACTCAATATACTTTATTTATTCAACAGAACTTTGTTATCATAGGAAATTGTCATTGTATGTATTAAATTGCACAACTGTCCTGTTTTAATTTAATCACTTACGGAAATAAATAAATAATTAAAAACATTTTTTTTTCCATTTCTGTAGTTAGTTCACTGAAATGTCATCCATATATTAAGTTGTTTTAATGATTTTTTTTCCACATTTATTTAAAAACACATGGTTCAGAAACCAATAAGTTTGAATGTACCAGGAATTTTAATTTAAACAAAAAAAGAAAGGTTAACATTCTAATAACATTTTTTTTTCTGAAGGTTTTCGTTCAAGAAAAAGGGTTTGCAACAACCCTTCTCCCGTTAATACGAATGAAGGATGTGATGGTCTAAGTTACGAAGTTCTGTTGTGTAGTGACAATAAAGTAAGTAAACAAAGTAATGAAGAAATTTATAAGTAAATTTTTCTATTTTCCAATAATTTCATCACATATTCTAATAATCAAATTTTTCCATCACAGATATGCCGTAAAAACAAGAAAGAAACTTCTACCAAACACGCCTCAAGAAAATGCAAGGAATTCAGTAAATTGATCTATGAAATAGATAAGGAAGGTGTGGGCCTTCAAGCACCCCATGAATCTGGTACATTTATTTTATTGTTCCTTATTGTTTATGTATTTTTAATTTCGTCCTTGTAAAATTATTTTATTTTGAAACTGGGATTTCACACTTTTCCTATCGTAATTTTCTTCAAGCCGTTTCCTCCTACGCATCTCCCTTGATCATACCCTCTACTTCTGTTTTATATAGGCTTACTATTAATTAACTTCTCAAAATACTTACTATAATAAAATATCATCGTTACTATCCAACATCCTCTGTAAAATCCTTAAAGCTCTTTATTATGCTACAAATAAAAATAAGCCCTTAACCATAAAGACCTCAAAATTTCTTTTTTTTTTTTTTTTTTTTTTATCTACAGATAGACTGTGGATGGGCTGTACAATATTCTGTAGAAGAAGTGATAAAACAAGTTTTTATACTCCTCGGATTGAATTGAACGACCTGGGTGTAGACCCGTACTTCCCAGATGGGACATGGTGCCATTTCGACGGAGATTTGAACTATTACTGCCGATGGCATCATTGTTTACCAGAGGTGAGTTTTTAAAAAAAAAAAAACCTGAATTAATTAATTAATACAAATTGCCTTACTTTAGGCATGCATATATTTTGGGATTTATCAACTTTTTGAGGTTCAAAAAGTTTAGAAGATTTGTGAGTTCTGAATGAAATTTATTTTTGTCAATGAAAATTTCCAAGTATACAAACAATTGGTTTATTTGTTGAATTATATGTCAAGTTGACGTTTCGAGAAAATGTATGACTAGAAAAGAGTCAATTAAAAAAAAAAATGCAAGTTACAATACATGTTAATGTTGTGTTGTTACATAAAATGTTATAATTACCTAAACTGTGCTTCTTTTTCATGATCTGAAATTTATGTGTTATAAAAGGAATAAAAATATACTATCTGAAGCATCAAGATTCCTAGGATTAATAACTGGGTGCCTGCCGTGGGGGATATTATTAACCTTTGGATATAATTATTTTCTCTTTTACTATTGTTATTTAAGGACTGTTTGCTACATAGCTGCATTCCAGTTTTACTATATTTTAATTTTATTTAAGATATCTGTATAGTGTGTTCCCAATTGTTCAGTGTCTGTTTTGTAATTTACTATTATTCTATTATTTTTTGTGATGTGGATGGTTTCCAGTAATTTTCTATTGTTGTTTTTTGGTTCTGTGCCTATTATTTGTTATTATTATTATTATTTTATTCAAATTGAATTTATGTTCTAATTGTATGCTAAAGCTGTGGAGTTTATGTGTTTTGTATTTTTGCAGTTGGAAATGTTTTGTGAAATTCTGGTGTTTGGACGTTTCACTAATGTAAATTTTAGGGCAATTTTAATAGTTCAATTTGTATATTACATTTTTCTTATCTAATAAAACTATTCTGTCCTTTGTTTTGCCAATGTACCTGCTTAGTTTTTTGTTATTGTATTCTCCAAGTTTGATTATGGTAAGTCATAATTTTTAAACACGCCCTTAATTTTGTTTGTAAGTTCAGGTATGTATGTCATTTTGTAGCAGGCGTTAAAGTTCATTTTGTTTGTTTGTGAAATTTGTCTTGATTGTTCTCGTCTGTTAAATTTGTTTTTCCAAAAATGTTGTGTTGGTTTATTTGTTGTAATGTTTTCTTTTGGCGTTTTGTGTGTTGCTTGTTTTTTGGTCACACCAGAAAAGGAAATTTATTTTGTGGCTTCGTTAGTGAAAGGGTTACCATATTTCAATATCTACTTTCAAGAACGATCAATATTTGTCTATATTTATCTTCTACCCTTCGTGATTGTTAAATTCTACTGCCAACTCGATGAAATACTAGATTCCTCAATATTATCAGCTCAATCGTAAGCTAAGTCTTGACAACATTATTAAGTTTAGGTATTCGTTCGACGCACAATTTAACGTTCTTTAATTTCTTAAAGAATATATTTGCGCTTCGATGTGCCGTTAAAGAGTCATAGATAAAAAAACAAAAACAAAATCTGGCTTTTTTGGCTGTAAAAAGTTTTCCATTGGACCGGATTAGCAATTTTGTTTTTTACATGTTTAAACCCATATATACGAGTACAAGTTTAAATAATAAAATCGTTTCCCATATTTTTTGACATAAATTTCACGTTTCGCTTCTCGTGTTACTGTCCTAATATTCTTTAAATCAGCCGTCACTATTTCAGTTAGCATGATAAGATTGGCGAACTCTCATTTACTTAATATAAATGTTATTTACATGTAGTTTGGTATGTATATATATATATATATATATATATATATACATACATACACCTTTTTCAATTTATTGCATCTAAATATTGATACATAATACGTCTTAAATTACGCTAAGATAAAAGGATTGTCGTATTAATGTTTTGTCACATTGACCTCTTAGAGAGATTGATAGAGTGATATAAGGAAGCAAGCAATCCTCCTCCGAAATAAAATAGAGGTCCTCCATTAAAGATGTTTGAAATCTATTTAGGTAATATTGTTACAGTTCTTAACTTAGGTGACAATAAATTGGGTTTCATGTTAGATAAGTTGAACAAAAAAAACAACATAATCTTTCAGATGAGTAATGATATTTTCACTTACTTCTTCAAGCATTCTTTCTTGGGTGAAAACTGTAGATACAGCAACAAATCAGATTCGTCCAGTATTTGTTGAAACCCAAAATTCTGATGATTCATGGTTGATGGTTTAGATAACACAAGTGAGAAATTAATTTAAGATCCTTGTCTTCTATTCCTGTAAATATCTGAAAACTAAAACATTACATTAATGCATGTGGGTTTTTTTTTTGCTATGCATGTGTATTTTTTTGCTTAGTTTTAGTTTTCTTATCTTTACGTTATTTTATTTTATTATCTATTGTATATACTTTTGATTATTATTTTGTTTCTATTTATTTTTTTTTTCGTACATACATTGTGAATGTCATCCTACCTCACTATAACCAGTGTCCAAGAGACAGATTGTTGTAATACTCAATAAAGAAATAAATAAAAAAAAATTTAAATTTATTTAGGATTGGTTTAATTTTTTTTTTCCATTTGCTCTGTGATTTTGTTTTCATATGAGGACGATTAATTATATATAATATATTTAATATATATATATATATATATATATATATATATTGTAGCAATTGAAGAAAGAATAAATAGAATTCATAGAGTACTTTACTAATTCTCATCTATTCTAACTATAATTTTTCAGTAACAAGCAATGTATTATGAAGTCTTAAGTAAAAATATGTTAAATATAAAAAAATAAGTTAAAAATATGAAGTCTTAAGTATTGAATAATGTAATAACATTTTTTCATGTAGAAATGTCGGCATATATATATATATATATTTTTTTTTTTTGTATGTGTGTGTGAGGGCCAAATAGCTTATTTCTCCGATAGTGGAAACTAACTTTCATAACAATTTCAACAGCAGGAATAAAATTTCGCAAAAAAATAGTTTTAAAAGACATATTCATTTTTTTATTTGTCCACAGAAATATTTTAATATCCCCAACTATTTTGGATTTGAACTTATCACGTACATGTTGCGAATATCCTACCAGCCTGTAGGAACACAGACATATCATTTCGGAAAAATTATTCTTCAACTATAGGGTTTTCTATAACATATTTTCACTTTTAGTTATATTTTCTATGAACGCCCTTCTGTGCGTCGTGAGATCAAACAGCACCGTTTAGGGATGTCAGATACATAAACCGTGAAGGATGGGCTTCAGATAAAATCTTCAAAAACATCAAGAGACTGAGAAAAGAAAAATAAATGATAATGTTTCCATCTGAAAGGTAGATCTTATAAATTTGTGAATTTTTTTATTTTTTGGTTTTGGATGATTTAAAGGAAAAAGAAACTAATTGGAAGAGCACGACAGAAATAGAATAATTTTTCGTGGAAAAGGTTTTGTGACATTAGATATAATGCGGTTATGTATAGGAGCCTTATGGGAAAATAATCCAAGTTCGTAGTTTTCTTTTTTTTTTTTTACTAACCTATTGACAACAAATATAATAATAATAATAATAATAATAGGAGATGGTCTAGGGTGATGGTCATAAATAAGTGGAGGTTGAATTCTCCGAATTAAAAAATTTTATCCCTCACTATATTTCTTACATCTGTTATTGATGAAGACAATATTACCAAACTCAAGTACAAGATATCACAAATTTGTTCCTCTATTAAAATCATTAAAAAGGGTTCTCTCCAATAAAAATTTAATTAAATAGATCAACAGGCTCTTAAAAATAAAATGTATCTCTACTTATGACCGCCACCCCGGACCATCTCCTTCCTTAATAATACAACGGTCAATAATAATACATTTAGGGATAAAATTGGTATGTATTTATTTTCGACATGTGCATACATTTAGTAGCTGAAGTGCTAGAAAAATAATTAAAAAGAAAAACACTTTGTTATTGATTAAGTATTTGTCACAGGTCACTCATAGAAACAAATGAGGACCATAAAAAAAAAATGATGCTGAAAAGAATTTAAAAAAAAAATGATGCTGTTTTAGAGACATTTTCTTCACAAAACCTGGAAGTCCGTCAACAAAACCTGATTTCCTCGGACGAACGATCTTTATTTCATTCTTTTTGTTGTTTTATTATTCGTTTAATCGTTGTTTTGATTATTATTTTTTAAAAATTATTTTGCTATTTTATTTACAAAGCTCCCCCCCCCCCTTGAATCCTCTAGTGGAATAAAGGCAATAACCAATTTTTTTGACTAATTAGCTATTACTGTTATAGGATTTCCACTTCAATAAGAATATGATTTGGGACAGAGACTTACAGATGCCTCAGAATGCCCTGCCAGAAACTATACCATTATCAGATACGATGAGGAAGTATCTAAGCACGGACGATAAAGGAAAACCACTTCTCAAATCATTCAACCCTAACTCAACATACTGGGACTTTAAGGAAGATGCCTGGGAGACGAAAGATTACATCGAAATACCTTAAGCATATTGACAGTATTTGTATAACGATTTAAAAGATTCCTATAGGTTTATTTTTATTATATGTTTTGTAGCTATTACAATAAGTATACTGCCTATCCTTATTCCGATGAAGATCTTAATTAATCTTCTTTTATTTATATTTTTTGTTAAATCATTAGCAACTTGTTTGCCGACATATCATTTGTATTTTTCGGTTAAAATTTTTATAATGAATAAAATATAAATATTATTTTATAGTATCATATGAATATTTTATCAAAACCAACTTCCTCATTCTTTGACAAACTGATTTTATATATATTAATTATAATATAAACTTATAATTATTGTTTAGTATGTATATTAAAAAATATATATGTTTACAATTGGTAGTTAGGGTCAGAAGTGCCCAGAGTGGGTTTCATGGCAAAAATTGCGCTATCAAAATTTTCGAGCAGGGCACATTTTGATGAGGTTTTGAATTATTGAGGGGGACACATTACGACGAGTTTATCGATTTTCGAAATGAAAAGTTTCAAACCAGGTGGCAATGGGTAAACATGGAACAGACCACAGATAGTATATTTGTATATCATCTACGATTTGAAAATTCTACTTTAGCTGGCACTTTTAAGAATAGAAGAGCAATGAAATATCTTTGGAGAGATGGGGGGGAGGGGAGAGAAATTCATGCACCATTGACCTAGTGGGGGATGGGCACTGCTGGTTATGGTCAACATAATTACTTACAAAATTTCACAAATTGCGTGCAAAATCATGAATGGGTCAAGTTTAAATTCCTAGAAAACCATATGAGTAATTTTTGTGGGCTTTTAAATCAATAACTCTTTGTAAATTATGAACATACTGAAAGTAAAGATTTATTTTGTTTTTAAGAGTAATCATTTATTTTGTACGCAATTATATAACCAGAAATTTCGTACAACTTCAGATGAATATACTTTTAATTGTGCAATAATGTTATACCACTGAAGAATTTTTTTTTAATAATACCTAATCATTATATATATTTAATATGTAATAACTAAACGCTCGATATTAAGAGCGATACGAGGTCAGAATACTACAAATGGATGAGAATGACCAAAAAAGAACTGCTTACAGAAACTGGTCAATCAATATCTCATGATATAAAGACAAGGAGTTGAGATGACGAGCATGTAACCGAATCAATCCATCAGGTAGCCTCTAAACAACAATGAAGACCTCGATAGCAAGCAAGAGACCAGACGGAAAGCCAAACACCTGAAGGATAGATCGAATAACCAAAGATGCAATAGAGGTGCTTGAAGATAACTGGAAATCAATACCCCAAGATAGACAGAGATGGAGAGACGCCAGGCTGAGGTGGTAAAAGATCTAATAATAATAAGGCTTAACAAACCTTAAGGTTCGATGCCGATACCACCAATCGATGTCCACATTCTTCCATCCACCGGGCTCTGTCTAAGCACAACCCCGCCAAATCAGCCTTAACGCAATCTTCCCATCTTCGCTTGGGTCTGCCCCTCGGACGATTGCCAGTCGCTACTGCGCATATTAACTTTTCAGGAATTATATTAACTGGATACAGTTCACGCTATTCAGCGTCGTGTAAACGCCTAAATTCTCCGGTCGATTCGTCCTTTTTGGGTCCGAATATTCAGCGCAATACTTTATTTTCAAAAACCTTAAGACGTTTCTCATCCCTTATTGTAAGCGGCCATGTTTCGCATCCATAAAGAACCGTAGGAAAGATAATGGTTTTGTGAATTCTAATTTTTAAGTTTCGGGACAGGAGATGAGAACTAAGTAAAACTTTGACAAAGAAAAATAACAAGCATTTCCCGCCTTCAACCTAATCTTAATATCCTCTTCAATTTCTTTTTTTTTATATATATCGTAGGCCATAGATACCTAAAATTCTATACTTGTTCAAACACATTCCCTTCTATATCGATATCATCGAGATTGCCACTGTTTTTGCAGCTAACAATAAATTTTGTTAATAACATAATAACAATAAAATCTGTTTCTACACAACAAAAAAAAATAATATAAATTATCATGGAGCTCCATTCACAAATAAGAATATCAGGGGTATTCCCGCAACTTGTTATAAATGTTTAATGTACTATGGTACTTAACAATAGCCATGCATCTTGACTGAACGACCCTTTTAAATAAAAGTCAGTTTTATTTTATTTGAAAACTGTTTATTACTTGAATTATGGCAACCCTAAATTTATAAGGAATTGAAAAAAAAAAATAATTCACTTCGAGCATCTTCGGCTTTTCCGAAATTATAGGATAAGGATTCTTGTCCTTTTTCGTCCAAAATTTTCCTGTTTCATTCCGCAATCTTTTCGTATATTTCATTTCCCTTAAAACAAACTCGATAAATGATTAAAAAAAACCTTGCGTGTGCGTTTACAAAATTAGCACCAGTTTTAACAGACTCCAGACCGTGTTAAAATCGAATGTTTTAGAGGCCATATTTCAGTTTTAAATAAGTTTCTCTACTTTAACACATTGAAGAGGCTTACAATGCGTAGCTCTGGTTTTTGAATACCCTTATTGTGAATGAAACTCTAGAGAAGAATTGCGATACTTTGGTTAATAATTATCAGAAAACTTTAGCAACAGCTTCAATAAACTTAATCAACTTGCCTTTAAATTAAAAAAGAATGATATATCCAACATGAGCTTATTCTTCTTCGCTATCATCTTCTGTACTGACTTCTCCAAAAATTAGATACCGGATATCATCAGCTTCAACGAATAAATCTGTATCTTGTATATCAGTGGCGTTGTCATATTCTTCATCATAGTCGTCAACGTCTAATGCAGCAGATGCTAAACGTTTAGGAGCAGCTGGGACGATCATGGGCTTTTCAAACAGCATCATCCTCTTTATCGGTGACCTAAGCAAGATTCATAATAATTAATTACTTTAAATTGATTTTTAATATCATATGATAATTCAACTTATCCATATTTTTTTCATTTACACATGAAATATATAGCTAGGGAAAGTATTGTGATCGTAAAAAATTAGGAATCAGAGTTTTTATAATCTAAATAACCAAATAAATAAAATAACAGAGTCTCAGAAAAATGTCTGAGTGTGTATAAAAAACAATGTAACTCAAAAACAAAAAGTCGTACGAAACTGATATTACGTCTTTAAGATAAATACGTCCAGAGTGTTACGGCCACATTTTCGTCAAAACTTACTAGCTGAAAATGGTAATTTATTTAATTCATTTTACACATAATTACAATTTGCACGTACTAGCGTACGTAGTTTCCTTTCAAATAAGTTATAAATTACGTTCAAACAGCCTGCATGTTATAGATTTTAACAGTTATGTTTCGCTTCAGATGATAGAATTCTTCGTTAGTAAAGTTCCCAGCTGGAAATTGAGGTAGACGATTCATTCGGCATTCCAGTATTTATTAGTTGACATATTGTGCAACGTCTAAAAGCTGGCTATACACAGACGGTCTTCAAATACCGTACACTCTCCTGGTCTAGCTAAATAAGAGAGAATGAAAACAAGAACTAGAGATTCATTGAAAAATTACCGAATCCGGAACGATACGTCAATGATGTTTAGGCTTTACAAAAATTCTAACAATAAGTTATAGTCAGAATTTTATAATTACTGTTTATCCAATCGGTTTCCTTTGGAAAAAAAAAAAAAAAAAAAATATATATATATATATACACATATACAAATGATGATAAAAATGCCTGATTTTTAACGAATATGATTTTTAATTTATCCTTAAGAATGCTGTAGTATCTGTAATGTAGTATAAAGAGGAATGAATTTGTATATCCATAAGGATAATAATATTCGTTATACCTTGTAGTGATAGACTCCATTAGTAAAAGGTTCTTCTCTTAAAACAAATAAAGACTAAATAAATAAATATATATATATATATATATATATATATATATATATATATATATATATTTACAAATGATACAACAGTTCATTTAATTGTACTACTCGCTCAAAATGGATAACTATAATTTACATTTATTCTGTATTTCAGATTGAATTATTTTTTATCAACATAAAATAAACTGAACGAACAGTCCGGACTAATTTTTTTTTTTAAATCTGTAATATACATTTCGTCTTATTGCCAATTTATATTATTATATAATTATAATTATTTTTATTGGCCATTTTTAACCATAATAAGGAAGAAATAATTCTGGGAATAAGAAGTGTGATGTCCTCGTTGGTCCGTCCCTCTTTGTATATGTAAAATAAAATATAAAGCGGCCAATAAAAAGTTTTCTATATAATAAAGATATATTTATTTCTATAGAATGGATTAACTCTTTTCTCACTATTACGTACAGTGAAAGAATTTAATGATACTCGATAAAACGCCTTAATATATATACATATACAGACTGTCCCGTAAGTAGAGGGCAAGGTTCATAGTAGACATCATAATCTACCAAAAAGTTCATATAAACGACTTCCAGCAGAAAAATAGAAAATTTAAGATTTGTGTTTTTTTTAATCGGGTCACGTATTTTTTTTACAATAGGAAGCAATAACTAAAAAAAATATTTGATTTAAGGAATTAAACATTGCTCCATAATAAACTAGCCAAATTTACTTCAAACGAAAGTGGAGGTTGTCATTGTTAAAACCATTTAAAGAGGACTATTGAGTGGACAAACTAAACTAATTTCGGTTTAAAATAGTCATAAATTATTTTTGATTTTTTTTTTATCACTCTTCGACTACTACATTTACCCCACATAAAGAAAAACTTCCTCATTTAATAAGCTTTAAGTTCATATTAATTAAGTTGAGGTTTATTAGAAAAAAAATTGAGTTGTGTAAAGAAATGATATGATTTTCTATCCAGTCTAGTCCCGTGTTTTCATCAAAAATGATTACAATTAACTGTAGCGAAGCTTTTATTTATTGTTTTCCCATGATATGAGATTATAGTAATAAATATAATAGCCTAAAAATACTTTTTATCTATTAAAACAAAAAAAAAATTTCTGTTATAGGAATTGATACGTTTTTATAAGTGACAAACTTAATGTTTCTAGTCCTAATATTTAAATTATCATGAAAATAATTGAAGCAATCAGTAGGTTTCTTTATTTTAAACGTAAATTTTACTAAGAATTTTTTATTAAGGGATAAAAAGAAATAAACTACCTGTATGAAATGGTGTTTAATTGATTCTTGAGGTCCAATTAAATGTAATGAAACGAACAATAATATTTTTTTCATAAAACATGATTAAATTTTACCATTTGGAGGGTAGGAGGCTTCAACTTTCTTACTTGAATTTTCAGTCTTTATTTATATTTCAACTCTGTCTTTCTTCTATTGGATTGGTCCAATTAGTTGGTCTCCATAATCTCCAAACCTCACAATACAGGATTGTTGTTTATGAAACTGGTTCAAAGATGAAGTATACAAAGTAAAAATAGGAACTGGGGATACGCTAATTCGTCGCATTAAAAATGCTGCTGGCGTCATTAAAGGATTTTTTTTTTATTCATTAATATTTATAACTGTATTATAAAAAAATACAACTAGTAAATGTGCACACAGTAATAATACAATCACATGAAAACGCTTGTTGAGAAACTAACCATTGGTAGGACTCTAATAATATATTTGCATAAGTAGATCACGTGGCCATCTTCTTTTCAGACGCCTCGGAGGGGTCATTAAAGGAAGATATGAAACAATCAGAAGGGAAACGGAAAATGTTTATGATTCAATGGTGATATTTTCGAACACTTATTAAAATAAAACTTCGATAACCAAAATGATAAAACAGGTATGAAATATAGTTTTTATGGGAAATTTTGTTTATATTTAATTAGCCAATAAAATTTAAATAAATGAAAATCCTATAAGAATATATATTTTTTTTGTTTATTATTTTTCTTTGAGCAACCCAATTCTGGAGTGTGGTCCGTTCCTCTTGTCTCACAACTGTATATGAGCCTCAATGGGCCATTCGAGACATGTTCTATACCTTTACTCAGCTAATAGTTGTATACTCTTGTAGTAATCCCCTTCAAAACTTCCTCGATAGGATGAACTGTTTGTACACAAACTTTACACACCTCATTGTCTCTAAAGTATTTTACAACTCTAGAGAAGTTGTCATAGAACTTCTCAGCCTTGATAAGGGCGACGTAATTGATTTTGCATAACTCATCATCCAAGTTTTCATCGCCACCAACAGAGCAAGCCCTTCAGGACTTTAATTTGGGTTGAGGTCTTATAGTAATTGACAAAGACGTGGAGTAGCCTTTTAAGAAAACTTTTCAATTATGTCTGCTTATTTCAGTAAGCTTTCTCAGATTGATTCATTTAATTTAATTTTTGCTTGCCTAATGTAGGATTTTTAATTGGAATTCTTTCTAAACCCTTTCAATATGCAATAAAAATCTGGAAAATATGCAGCGAAAAATCTCCAAATAGGTAATAAACCTTTGCTATTGATTCTGACCTTTATATGATTTATGTCACTTGATAATATAATAACATAAATTGATTGACAACTTCTTCTGTACAAAGTCTATGCGCAGAAGCTGGGGAACCTCCTCTACATTTCAGATGGTTGTTTCTGGCAAAGAAGTATGGTCTTAAAATCAAGACATACGCCTAACAAAATTTTTTTTTTTGGGAGGGGAAGCAGATAACAGGAGGGAGAAAAACTTCGTAGAAGCACTTCTCGATAATTTTTCGAATCTAAAAATAGAAAACACAGATGTGAAGGAAATACTAATCCCCGAAGGACCTATGCCTCACCAATTATAGACACCTTATCACCAGAAGTAAAAAAAATATGGTAGTTCCAATTGAAGTACAAAAAATACTTCTGGAAAATATATAAAAATACAAGGAGTATAACATCTTGAATACGGATGCCTCAAAAGCAGATAAGGAATTAGGAGGCACGGTTTTAAATTCTGAAATTCGAAAACTATTTAAACTCCCGGGAGTTGGGGCCCCTCTGGAGGCCTGCTCAGTTTTTACTGGCGTAATGGTAGCGATAAGAGAATCTCTTAAGTACATAGAGACGACTGAAACTACCAACTGGGCCTTGGTGACGGACTCGATTGAAAATATCAGGCCAAAAAATACAGTAGCAAAAGAAATAAGAAACGTTTCGTGGCTCCTAAGAGAGAAGGGCAAAGAAGCATGTTTGTCTGGGTCCATTCGCATCGTGGGATCACCGGCAATGAACAAACCGCTGCTTGATCAAAATTTCATCCGTATGTTCTTCCGTTAAATGAACCGTCAAATTTCGCCTGTTTAATTTAATTTAAAATGGTTTCTAGCTATAAGTCCTTTCCTTAAATGAAAACGGCGGTATCCTCCAACCTGCGAGAGCTGCAATTTCTAAAGGACAGTAAAGTACATCATACAAGACTGTCCTATATTGTAAACTGTTAGGACTTGGACATGCCACAGAGACTAAAAGAAATCTTCAATGACAGTGAAATAGCTGTTAAAAAAAACATTTGAATTTTTAAAAATTAATTAATTAATTAATTTCTATAACAGAGTGTAAATAAAAGGCGTTGCCTACAGGGTAGAGGCAACGAAAAAAAAAATTGATTTAAATTATGACGCCCGAATTGGCGAAATTTTGGCAATTTAACTGTTCACTTGTATGTTGGAGATTCGTGACTTAATAGTTTGGATTGATATTTAAAATAATAATAAATGTCACCGCTTGTAAAATAAAAGTAAGAAATAAACTGAAACTAAAAATCGGTATGATGTTTGAAAATTTTAAAGAATTATGAAATGGAGGTGGAAAACCGAGAAATGAATATATATATATATATATATATATATATATATATATATTATAAGAAGTCAA